GGTTTTAGCAGAAATGTTATAAAGAACTAAGTAAAAATAGATTGTTAATGGGCCAAAGTGTAAAATTTAAGGTCAGATTGTGTTAAGATAAATTATAGAACAAAAATTGAGAAAGATGGAAAGGATTTGCTGAAATAGCTAATTGAACTAGAATACAAAAAAGGGAGGTGTGAGGAGGTTGATGAAACAAGTAAATGAAAGATAAAGATATGGAAATTCTGGACGTGTTTTTAAATGTTTTTCTTTTTTTATTGTTCTATTGTATTGTTTTTTGTCTTTTTTTCTTCTTTCCTCTTTGATGTATTGTAAGGTATTGTTTTGTTTAACTTTTCATTGGTTCTTTTTTTCTGTTTCTTTCTGTAATTATTAAATCTCTAATAAATATCATTTAAAAAAAAGAAAAGAAAATTACAACAACCAAGTACCGTATTTTTCGCTCTATAAGACACACCAGACCATAAGATGCACCTAGTTTTTGGAGGAGGAAACAAGAAAAAAAATATTATGAATCGGAGAAGCCGGAACAGCAAGAGGGATCGCTGCTTTCGCCGTGCAGTGATCCCTCTTGCTGTTCTGGCTTCTGCGAAAGCAACGCAAAGCGTCTTCAGGGCAGGGGGAACGTTCCTCCAGCTGCCCTGAGGAGCCTTTGTGCGGCTATCCCAGAAGCCAGAATACAAGAAGGATCTCTGCGCAGCGAAAGCAACAATCCCTCTTGCTTTTCTGGCTTCTGGGATAGCTGTGCAGCCTGCATTTGCTCCATAAGACGCACACATATTTCTCATTTTTTAGGAGGGAAAAAGTGCGTCTTATAGAGCGAAAAATACGGTATTCTGCAAGTGGAATAGACTGTTCCACCAAAGTTAAGGGTCCCGGTTTTGGGGGGTGGTGGTGGTTAGGTTCTTCTGGGTTCCTAGATAACTGGGTGCGCCTGAAAAACTGCCTGGGAAATAACTGCACTCACACTAAGCCAGCGATGGCCAAACTTGGCCCTCTAGCTGTTTTGGGACTACAACTCCCATCATCCCTAGCTAACAGGACCAGTGGTCAGGGTTGATGGGAATTGTAGTCCCCAAACAGCTGGAGGGCCAAGTTTGGCCATCACAGCACTAAGCTCGCTCTTGGCCCTCCGAGGGCTTGACTGATGAACTCTCCCTCTCGCCAATAGGCACAGTGGACAGTTTGGCACCATAAACAACTTCCGCCTCGGCCGGCTTCCAAGTGTCCCCGTGGAGTGGAACGAGATCAACGCAGCCTGGGGGCAGACCGTGCTGCTTCTCCATGCCCTTGCCAACAAGATGGGCCTGACCTTCCAAAGGTGGGAGCAAAAATACTGGCCTCCTCCCCGTCCCGTCCCCAACTCTTCTTTGCCATTGAGCCTATGGGAGCTAATAAACCTATTAAAGGTAAAGGGACCCCTGACTATTAGGTCCAGTTGTGACCTGGGGTTGTGGCGCTCATCTCGCTTTATTGGCCGAGGGAGCCGGCGTACAGCTTCCAGGTCATGTGGCCAGCAAGACTGGCAAACCAGAGCAGTGCACGGAAACACCGTTTACCTTCCCGCCAGAAGCAGTACCTATTTATCTACTTGCACTTTGACATGCTTTTGAACTGCTAGGTGGGCAGGAGCAGGGACCGAGCAACGGGAGCTCACCCCGTCGTGCGGATTCGAACCGCTGACCTTCTGATCGGCAAGTCCTAGGCTCTGTGGTTTAACCCACAGCACCACCCGCGTCCCTTGTAATAAACCTATTACTTAGATGATTAATACCGCACCTTGGAATCAAAAGGATTCTCAATGCAACTTTCCCTTTTTCCTTGCAGGTACCGCCTTATCCCATACGGGAACCACTCTTATTTAGAGTCTCTCACAGACAAATCCAAGGTAAGAAGTTGGGCTCCATACAATCTCAGTCTTAAAACACATCAGTGTTTGGGTCTTCACCGGTCAGAAACCCAGAGGCCTCTAGAAATCCAGCGAAAGCATTTCAGGGAGCATTGGTGGAAACGAGGTGTTAACAGGGGGAAATTGTACTGAATTTTAAAACCAAGGTTTCCGAATTTTATATCCCGTAGTTTAGCCGTCAGTCGTATGGCAATAAGGTGGATGTTGAAAATTGGGCCAAAATTCTATTTTCACACAAAATTACTTGGTTGATAGGTTTTCCGAGTAGTTTATTTTCGTGTTGTTGTTTTTTTAAAAAATCACATGGAGAAGATTCAATGGGCTTAAGGAAAGGTAACTGTATAGTTTGGTTTATTGTGTCGGGAAAGGGAAAGGGACCCCTGACCATTAAGTCCAGTCGCGGACGACTCTGGGCTTGTGGCGCTCATCTCGCTTTACTGACCAAGGGAGCTGGCGTACAGCTTCCGGGCCATGTGGCCAGCATGACTAAGCCGCTTTTGGCGAACCAGAGCAGCGCACGGAAACGCCGTTTACCTTCCTGCTGGAGCGGTACTTATTTTATCTACTTGCACTTTGACGTGCTTTTGAACTGCTAGGTGGGCAGGAGTTTGTAGTGATCTCTAAATCACAAGCTTGTAGACACACAAACTTTTCATGGGTGACTCCTCTATTTTCAGCTTGGGAGTACACCTGATTGTTTTCTTTTACACTTCTTTCTTATTGTTTCTGTGGAGGATTTCTGTGCAATTGCATCAAACCTCAGAAGCACAGATTTCAGTTTTCCATTCAATTCTTCATTCTGTACAATCAACTTAATTCGACTCTAGTGAGCTTCCAGGAAAATGAGCTTTTTTTGGGGGGGGGGGAGTGCACCTCTGTGCACCATAGCACATGGCTGAAATAATGAGCAAGGATCCCCTAAGCAAAACTTAATGGGACTTATTCTGATATAGAATTGGGTTGAAATAACTGAAAAGAAACTCGTACATCTTATTTCCCCAAATTCAGTGTGTGGCTCCTTTGAGGGAGCAGGCCCTGCTCTTTATCTGCATTTGAGAATGTCAGAAAAGCTCTTTGTGATTCTGGAATATTTTTCTCTAAAATAATATTATCGAATATGAAACTCGTAATAGGTAACAGCTGCTCCCCACTAGAGTAAAGCATGTCTCTCGCTTGTTGGTTCTTCTTGCCCTAGACTTGGTTAAGGAAACAATTGTGGCAGAATGACACTGAGAGTGGCTACAGTCCCGTGGGGTATATGGTGCAATTGAACCAAGGATGGTGTGCCCCCAATTTCCTGGAAAAACAAAACCACCCCCTAAAGGTCTTGGGGCAGCTGCAGAGTAATTCCCTTTGTTTCTGGTGTAAGCGTTTGTGTCTTCAAGGAGCTGCCCCTTTACTGTTCAGGAGGATTGCGGTTTTTCTGGGACAACAAGTTTGACCATGCCATGGTGGCGTTCCTGGATTGTGTGCAACAGTTCAAAGAGGAAGTGGAAAAGGGCGAGACCCGCTTCTGTTTGCCTTACAGGTAATAAAAAAATCACTGCATCAGAAAGACATGGGTTTCTCTGGACAATAGTTATCTACTGAAACTGACTAGTGAGAGATCTGGGACGAATGAATGTATGTATGCTTTCATGCTAGCACAATTAACTTAAGGCTTTCACTGACAAAGGCTGTTTTGTGATTAGTATTTGGCATAGGGCATTAAAAATGGAATGTGGCAACAATTGTCCATGAATGTGTTGGTGGACAACAGAGCCACCACGTTTAGAGGCATCAGAGCTTAGAGGTTTGGCTTTTGCTTGTTTTGTTCACAACCTTTCTGGGACTTGCCAGGCCAGTAATTTTGCACAGCCTCAAGTTATGACTGCACCAGCTTGCAATACGGAAGCAGTAAAACATTTTTGTCTTGTCTCATCAACTTGAAATGACTGCTCACTTATGAAGGCCCCTCCGAGCTGTGAAGCTGGGTTCCTGTGTTGTTAAAAAGAGGCGTTATGGCAGGGGCAATGTCTTCTAACCACTGTCCTATGCTGCAACCATACTCCGTCCTTCCTACTTAACCCTGATTTAGAGCTCCCCACTTTGTTCTCATAGCCACTTTCACCACCTGCAACATCCTTAGAGTATTGTCTACCAGGCTGTGGGAATCCTCTGAAACCAAATGCAACTCTGTTTAGATTGACAAGGGCAGGTGTCCTGCTGCGTTGCCCACTTTTGCATTCTAGCCAAGCCTGCTTGGGTGACCTTTATTTGAAATAAAAAGCAAGGTTTTAAGTGCTGTGGTAAAAAAGGGGAGGACAGGGCTGTTGTCTCAGCAGGAGCCTTGACATCACCCGTGCATTTTACAATCAGTAAATTAACAGTATTGCAGAAAAGCGGGGGGCTTGCTCTGTTGACAAACTCGAGGTTCGCGATGGTGCCAGCTGCCAGGAGTTTCAGTTTTGGAGCCTGACAAGAATCTGTGTTTCTCCACTGCAGAATGGATGTGGAGAAGGGCAAGATTGAAGACACGGGTGGCAGCGGCGGGTCCTACTCCATAAAGACTCAGTTTAACTCGGAGGAGCAGTGGACAAAAGCACTCAAGTTCATGCTGACAAACCTGAAGTGGGGTCTAGCCTGGGTCTCTTCCCAGTTCTACAACAAATGACTCTTGTAAGAGAGGAGGACTCCATCCCGCAATGCGTCTATAGTTTGTTTCAAAGATACCCAAAACAGGACTTGGCTTGTGATATCAGTACATCATCACCTTACAAGACCAAAAAACTGCAAAGCACTTTTGTCTTAAAATGTCATTGTCGGGTAATATGAAGCAAAACGGCTCGACAGCATGGTTGGATTTCTGTCGCGGCACAGCCTGCTGCTGCTTTTAGGGAAAGAAGCAAACCGGGTCCTGGATAGTTAGGGGGGGCCCCACGTACGGCAGTAAAAAGAGACCTGATTGAAGAGCTCTTAACAGCTTTCAGACTGGAGGAGTGACTCTACTAAGCTATAACGTTATTAGAATTGCAGTTTGGTTGCTACACTAAGATGCCCTAGGAAATGCAAGAATAAATAAAAGCTGTTTGTATTCCGGAAGAACACAGAATCCTTATTTATCATGAGCTGCCATAGATGCATTTAATGTTTCTTCTTCCCTTGTGAATGAGTTCATCCACTTACACTGAGACTTATCCCTTCCAGGGAGGCCTTCAGAAGAAACATTCTTCTCCTGTTGCGGCAGCACACACATCTCAGTGTCTGCCCTCAGGAGCCATGCTTCTTCACCAGTGTTGTAACTGTGCAAGACATCAATAGTCGTAGGCCTAACTGTCCTCTTTAAGTGCCCGCCCCAGGCCTTCTCAAAAGGTTATGGTAACAGGACAAAAGCCTGTGAGGTGTAAGCATTAACATTTAAATATAACTGGTTGCCTTGTTTCTTGGGAGCACAACCATCTCTTTGAGAGCCCCAGATGAAGTGTGGCAGCATGCTGTTTGGAGGGCAGGGGATGAAGGTGGAAGAAATTAGTCGTTGCCCACGCTGTGCTTCAGAATTGCGTAGACTGCCTCAATAATGTCTTGCCGACCGATGCCTGTGGTGTCGCTGAGGTATTCCGTAACCTTTCAAAAGAAATAGGGCAAGGTTAAGACAGCGCATGGATACCTGGCAAGGCAGTTGGCAAGGGTCAGGGGTATATGGAAAAGAGTGGAATCCACTCCATCACCCCTGCGCTCCCACACCTTGTAGCCCCGTGGTAGTTTTGTGGCTAAGCCACAAAAGTGTAAGTACCTGATTCAAGCCCTCGGGATTCAGGAGGAAAGTGCTTGCCCCAATGACTCCGACAGCCAATAGCATGAGATCTTCTTTCACTGGCAGAAACTTCGCCCTATCCAGTTGAAGCAACAAGGTAAGACAAGGTGTGGCATAGGTAAAGGTAAAGGGACCCCTGACCATTAGGTCCAGTCGTGGCCGACTCTGGGGTTGCGGCGCTCATCTCGCTTTATTGGCCAAGGGAACCGGCATACAGCTTCCGGGTCATGTGGCCAGCATGACTAAGCCGCTTCTGGCGAACCAGAGCAGCGCACGGAAACGCCGTTTACCTTCCCGCCGGAGCGGTCCCTATTTATCTACTTGCACTTTGACGTGCTTTCGAACTGCTAGGTTGGCAGGAGCAGGGACTGAGCAACGGGAGCTCACCCCGTCGTGGGGATTCGAACCGCCGACCTTCTGATCGGCATGTCCTAGGCTCTGTGGTAGGAGGACTCACTGGGCTGGAGAAGCTGCGTTGTACTGCCACTCCACCAGCCCCAGACCTTTTCTTTTTGGCGGCCCTCGGCAACATTTGATGCCCCTCCCCGCAGAGGCACTGGGCTTTGGGAAGGAGGTGTGAGGGCTCTTGACAAGAGTCCTAGAGTCCTCCTGCCTCCTTCCCCAAACCCAGCATCTCGCCCGGCTTTGGGAAGGCAGCGTGAGGGCTGGTGAGGGGTATAAAATCTTGGCCTCACTCTCCTACCCCGTGTGACAAGGTGGAGTGTGGCTCATGGATTCCCTGTCAAAGCACTCTTGTGGCCCACTTGGTATGAAAAGTTAGACCACCCTGTTCCAGGGGTGTTGGGAATTGTCAGAATTCCACACCAAAGTCTGAAAGGAGGAGTTATTTCCTTACAAAGAAACACGGCACCAGAGGATTTTTTATTTTTTTTTAGGTGGGGGGGGGAGCTAGTAAAGGTAAAGGGACCCCTGACCATTAGGTCCAGTTGTGACCAACTTGGGGGTTGTGGCGCTCATCTCGCTTTATTGGCCGAGGGAGCCAGCGTACAGCTTCCAGGTCATGTGACCAGCATGACTAAGCCACTTCTGGCGAACCAGAGCAGCGCACGGAAACGCCGTTTACCTTCCCTGCCGGAGCGGTACCTATTTATCTACTTGCACTTTGACGTGCTTTGGAACTGCTAGGTTGGCAGGAGCAGGGACCGAGCAACGGGAGCTCACCCCGTCGCGGGGATTCGAACCGTCGACCTTCTGATCGGCAAGTCCTAGGCTCTGTGGTTTAACCCACAGCGCCACCCATGTCCCTGGGGGTGGGGGGGGAGCTACCGCCATCTAAAAAGGAGAATGTGTGGCTATCCACAAGCTAAAAACACACACAAAGAAGTCACTTTATGGTATCCTTGCATGTGACTGAGCAATATTACCACATCCTGTCTGCACAGAATGGGAGAACAGTAAACCTCTCTGGTGTTTTCATTCCTTCCTAAAAAAATATAAGAGTTCACAGACACTCTGCCGCTGGAGATAAGTGCACCAGTGTTGGAGGAGGGGGAGAGAGAATCTGTTTTTAGATTTTAAGAAGTAAATAGATCGGGACAGCGTAGGCAAGGCTGGGGGAGGCGGGGCAGGGGGAAGAGAAAGGGCAAATTTCTATTGCTTTTCGTACATTTATTTTGTTAAGTGAGTACATGAGTTGTCTTTTGCTTGAGTAGTATAGCAGGGATGTGCTTATAGAAGTCTAAAACGGAGTTTTTCAAAAGGTCATGTAACGGTATAGGAGAAGGATGTATTGTTTATGTCCTAGGTCAGTGGTTTTCAACCAGAGTGCTGTGGCACCCTGGGGTGACCTGAATGATGGTCAAGGGTGCCATAGGCAACATTAGCCTCTGTCCTTATATCCTTCCCTCCCTCCTCTGATGCCCTCTCACATCTCTGCTTCCAAAAGGCTTGCACAGTTGCTTCTTGCAGCAGCCCTGGCTATACAGTGGTACCTCGGGTTAAGTACTTAATTCGTTCCGGAGGTCTGTTCTTAACCTGAAGCACCACTTAAGCTAATGGGGCCTCCTGCTGCTGCCAGAGCACGGTTTCTGTTCTCACCCTGAAGCAAAGTTCTGAACCTGAGGTACTATTTCTGGGTTAGCGGAGTCTGTAACCTGAAGCGTCTGTAACCTGAGGTACCACTGTAAGCTCCACAGGTGAATGGTGCCTCTGGGGCTGGTCAAGGGGTGCTGGGTGCCAGGAGCTGAGGGGGCCTCGGAGTAAGCAAGCAAGTGGGTGAGGGAGTCCAGCCAGCTAGCCTGCCAGCCCTTGCTATTAAGAATGGACAGACAAGTCCCAGGCCTCTGTGGGGCAGTGTGAGGAGGCACCTCTCTTCGGGGCAGCAGGGGCAGCTCAGAGACCAGGGGACTCCCAAGGAGAGGAGGTTAAGGGAACACTCCACAAGGTGTTCGAAAAAGGGTGAGAGGGTGGCAGCTCTGCAGGCAAGGGATGACATAACTGGGCTCCCGAGCCCCAAAGGGGTGCTGCAGAAAGAATGTAGTTGGCCAAGGGAGCCGTGATTCAAAAAGGTTGAAAACCTCTGACCTAGATGCTCGCAACACTTATATAGCCACATCCCATAAACCACACTAGCAGAGTGGGTGTATTTTCTCGGCCGCAATGTAATGTGTTACAGGTGCTATGAAAATGCATTATCCTTGCAACAAAAGTGTTTCTGTTGGGGGAAACCACTTATATCCAACGAGACATTTTTAGAACCAATTATGTAGAAAAGGCCCTTAAAATAAGGTAAAGGTAAAGGTACCCCTGCCTGTATGGGCCAGTCTTGACAGACTCTAGGGTTGTGCGCCCATCTCACTCAAGAGGCCGGGGGCCAGCGCTGTCCGGAGACACTTCCGGGTCACGTGGCCAGCGTGACATCGCTGCTCTGGCGAGCCAGAGCCGCACACGGAAACGCCGTTTACCTTCCCGCTAGTAAGCGGTCCCTATTTATCTACTTGCACCCGGGAGTGCTTTCAAACTGCTAGGTTGGCAGGCGCTGGGACCGAGCAACGGGAGCGCACCCCGCTGCGGGGATTCGAACCGCCGACCTTTCAATCGGCAAGCCCTAGGCGCTGAGGCTTTTACCCACAGCGCCACCTGCGTCCCTAAAAATACACCTTTGTAATATAAAGGGAGACAATAAAAGATCCAGAGTGCTGTATCTCTTGCAACAGAGGACCATCACATGCCGTTTTCAGACTAATTACTTGTATGGAGTAGTTTGAAACTCGCTCTGGAACAACTCTTTTGAAAGGTTTCTCTAAAAAATATGATACAATACTCTGATCATTCTAAGGGACTTGTGTAATAGCTCTAGCAGCTATTGCCTGATGGTCCATTTCAACCACATCGATACTTTTTATTGTGCAAGCCGCCCTTAATGGTGATGCAGATTTTTTTCCTTTTTTTTTAAGCCACAGCTGTACCGAGTGGTGTTCTGTGTTTCCCTTTAACCTTTGTGCGTGTGTGTGGCACTTTCAGAAGGCTTTTTTCCTACTTCTGGAGCTGTAAGAATAGAACATTGCTCATCCGCTGTCTACAGCTGAACTATGTCTCCTTTCAGCAACGTATCCAAATAGGACATTTTTAGCCTGGGTTAGAAAATACAAGCCTTCCCATCCCTGCTAATTGCCACACTGTATTTAAAGGATACCTTACAATAGACATTGGGAGCTGTGCATGCTGTGCTGTCACCAAATTTTGTGAAGTCAGGCTCCATCCCATGTGCATTGCTTACAAACAGGCCTCTGTTAAGGTGTGTTGCCTGGAAAAGTGACTCAGATTTTCTTGGTCTCTAAAGCTCTCTCTGCTCTTTGTGCTACTTCAACAGACATAGTGGAGTCTGGAAGCACCTTGGGCCAGTCACCAGCCATTGATGTAGCCAAGGGGGGCAGCTGTCCCCCCCCAATCAATAAAAATCTGAGGTTCTGCCCCCCCCCCCAACAAAAGCTTCCCCCTTACCAGAATGAATTCATTTCTAGCTTGTCACTTCCCAGAACTTACAGCTGGAGCTCATTCGGAGAGGAGTTTTTAATCGAAGTCTTCAGCAAGGTGTCATAAACGCTGCTCCGCAAGAGGTACGTTAAAGCCAGCAAATGTCTGCACATTTCAAGCAGCTGTTTTGTGGGCAGCATGTAGCCATTGTACCCTAATCATGAGGAATAACAGAAGGCAGCAGAAGCCGCAGTTAGGTTTCTGTTTGGAACCAGAATCTACAAACCTGTGTCTTGACTACCCCTTTGGACAATTTAGGGTAGATGCGTGGACCTACGGGAGATGCCACACCCTTCTTCCTTATGTGGCCAAACTATTGTATGATTTGTTGCCTCGGTTTCAGCGCCTTAATTTTTGTAGACTTTCCCCACAAACCTAAAGCCAAAAAGCTACTGCTCTCTCTGGAATAGTTTACAAGGGAAAGGTAGCAAGGGGAACAAACTGAATGTGTTCAGGCTAGATCTAGCAACAAATTCACAAGGTACAGTTATTCTGTTGCAGCAAAAAAGTTGTCTTTTCCCCTCCTTCTGATTAACAGCATCTCCTTTAAAGTAGAGCTGTTCAGAATGGGCCTTGCTGCAGAATGGGAACACTGCAAGTTGATCCAAGTGTTCCATTTCCCTGAAACAAGGAGCCCAATATGCCAGAAGAAGCTTAAGCAAATAGATTTCGAGACATACCCTTATTCTTTCACTGCTCTGTACACCAGAAAAAATGCCCTGTTAAGGGTTCCCTGGAGCTGCTTGCTGCTCAAAGAAGACGAGTGGGGGCTGTGACTTATTTTTACCTCCTTAGCTAAAGCTTGCCCAGTGTTATGTCTTGTTCTTGACCCTTACCTAAAACCTCCAGCAGCATTTCAACATAAGCAAAAGGGGCTGGAAAATTGATTTGGAAATGCAGAGCCTTCAAAATGGCCAGTTCAGATTCCAGTAGTTCTTCTGTGGTATAGGAGAAGCCCAAAGACTTCAGAAACCTCAGAACCACGTTGTTATTCACTATCTGTACGAAGACAGAAATGTGACCGTTACTCTCAAAATGCCAACTTTCTTTTGCTTCTGTCTACCACGATCGGGTGCTAAAGGAGTTCTGTTGTCTATTTATTGCAACACACACTTTGCATTAAAATAACATTTCAAGCCATGGGGGCTGCAAAGGGAGCTGCAGAAGGGCGGGGGAGGCAGGAGAGCTTGTTCTATGAGCAGAACTTTGGTAGCAGTTCTTAAAACAAGACCCCATGTTTTAAAAATACATGCAAATCTCTATAAACATGTAAAGAAAACCTTCCCCAAACTCTGTTCCTATTGTTTTTTCCAATAATATAAAAGGTGCCCCACCCCCTTCAGCTACAAGTTGATAACTGTGAAAGCCTCATAATGCTATATAGCTACTAGCCATTTTTAATATAGCTACTTGCAGAGTACATCTGGCTTTGCAACCAATAACTCCCATTTTCATTTATTGGGCAGACATTACTGTAACATTGATCCAAAAAATAAATAAATACTGGTCTTAACATTCCCTCCCACAGATAATGGCTCTGGGATGGTGCATAAAGAGAGCAAAGATTATGTCAAAATATGTAAGGGCACTTTTTGAATCTTCTTACACTATAATGGAAGGAGAGCTTGCTGGCAAGCTGGATGCAAGAGACCAGGCGCAGCACATATGTGCCCTCAATCTGCTGTTTCACTGAGGCCCACTTGCTGTCTTCCTCCTTTGCTCTCGTGAGATGAGAAGCCTCTTTAATGAGTGTAAGCATGAACCTAGGAAAGTACAAGGATAAAAAATCTGGTTAAAAGGAAAATGAAGCAAGGCTGGCAGTACCGGTAAACCTTGCTCTCTACAACACCCTAGAATCAAAGGCGCTTGCTTAGATCTGTGTCAGGGAGTTAAAGCAGCTTGAGGAGTCCTGAAATGGAAATTGCAAGATGCTTGCTTGATGCAGATACCTGGCAGTGACGGACTATGTGTGGAACGGCGTGAAAGGCCCTCTGCTCTTGCTCTACTATCCCAGGAGCTGTGAATTGCCCCACAAACACGTCCTTAGGATTCCAGATCCCTCCAGCTTCTTTCTGCTAGGTAAAGGGACCCCTGACCATTAGGTCCAGTCGTGACCGACTCTGGGGTTGCGGAGCTCATCTCGCTTTATTGGCCGAGGGAGCCGGCGTACAGCTTCCGGGTCATGTGGCCAGCAAGACTAAGCCGCTTCTGGCAAACCAGAGAAGCACACGGAAACGCCGTTTACCTTCCCGCCAGAGCAGTACCTATTTATCTACTTGCACTTTGAGGTGCTTTCGAACTGCTAGGTTGGCAGGAGCAGGGACCGAGCAACAGGAGCTCACCCCGTCGCGGGGATTTGAACCGCCAACCTTCTGATTGGCAAGACCTAGGCTCGGTGGTTTAACCCACAGCACCGCGTACCTAAACAGAAAGTGTTTGCCCGCCAGGATGGGCCCCTTAGCAGTCACTACGAGCAGAAAATAAAACTGCAAAGGCTTGGTGGGCCTGATGTGACTAGCCAGCAGCACACCGAGGAAGAAGGTTGTGACATATTGCAATTGCCTTTCCCTTAAACTCTTGCATTTATGACTAATGGAAGGTGTTTCTTACATTACCATTTGCAGGCAGTCTGTACAGCCTGCTTGGCCTTGCTGTGCTGCAAGACAGAGTCTGGGCAAAAGGAGTGTGGCTGGGCAAGGGTGTAAAGCCTTGGGCAGAGTCCTGAGAAAACGGGGGGGGGGGCGTGTATTTGGACCCTGGGCCTGAGGCTCCTCACTCCTGCTCTAAATTAATACCTGTGGTAAAAAGGTAAAGGGACCCCTGACCATTAGGTCCAGTCGTGACCGACTCTGGGGTTGCGGCACTCATTTCGCTTTATTGGCCGAGGGAGCCGGCGTACAGCTTCTGGGTCATGTGGCCAACATGACTAAGCCGCTTGGCGAACCAGAGCAGAGCACGGAAACGCTGTTTACCTTCCCGCTGGAGTGGTACCTATTTATCTACTTGCACTTTGACGTGCTTTTGAACTGCTAGGTTGGCAGGAGCAGGGACCGAGCAACGGGAGCTCACCCCGTCGAGGGGATTCGAACCGCCGACCTTCTGATTGGCAAGTCCTAGGCTCTGTGGTTTAACCCACAGCGCCACCCACGTCCCAATACCTGTGGTAGCCATTTTTAAAAGGTTTTAAATATATATATATATAAAGGGAGCATGTAAAGGTCAATTTATCACTCAGAGATGATAACATGGTTGTCCGAAAGCTACACCTCAAAGGTGAAGAATATGTAAAATGTTATCTACTCTCAAGGTGGGCAGAACAAATCAATACCTTTCAAATATTTCTATGGCTTGGTATCTTGCCGATTCAGTCAGGCTCCATTTTTCGGACAGAAGAAACACAAATTCTGTCAAAAAAATAAATAAAGGGTGAGAGGTGGGGAATCCTCAGAGTCATAGCTGCAGGTTCTTTTGGCACGTCAGCCTACTGAATTTGCCAAGCTCGGTTCTCACCCACGATCTGTGTCTCTTTAAAGCAACCTGCCTCTTCCCGCAGTTCGCTCAGATACTGCTCATTCTCCCTGGCCATGTGGAGCAAAGCATCTTGGATAACTCCGCCGGCCACTGCTCCAAAGACAGGCTCCGAAGAATGGTACCTGGACGCCACCTTTGTGGGTGAGCCCATCGGAAGAGTTCTGTCAAGGAGGAAAGAGCAGTTCAACACCCACCATTTTAATCTGTATAATTTCCTTGCTTTCTCTAGAATTGTTGTCTTTCCCCTCTCCCTTCTCTACCCATGCCTTTTCATTGCCTCTCTCGAAATGAAGGGTTCTGGAACTTCATGTCGCAATCTACTAGTTAAATACTTAGGACTGAAAACAATACAGTGGTGCCTTGCAAGACGAAAAGAATCCGTTCCGCGATTCTCTTCGTCTAGCGGTTTTTTCGTCTTGTGATGCAACCCTATTAGCGGCTTAGCCCTATTAGCGGTTTAGCGGCTATTAAAGGCTTAGCGGCTTAGCTGCTAAAAGGCTATTAGCGGCTTAGCGGCTTAGAAAAAGGAGGGGGAAAGCGGGGAAAAATCGCAAGACTAGCAAGACGTTTCATCTTGCGAAGCAAGCCCATAGGGAAAATCGTCTTGCGAAGCAACTCAAAAATGGAAAACCCTTCCGTCTAGTGGGTTTTCCATCTTGCGAGGCATTCGTCTTGCGGGGCACCACTGTATAGGGCAAGCAGCTACATTCTGTTATGAAACCAGGAGAGGAAATCTAGAATTGCCTTCCACACTAAAAACACAGTCCTATGCATATTTACTCAGATGTTAAGGCCCACTGCTCAGTGGGACCCAATGATATACGCATGTTGGCTGAAGTTTGCCAATGTGGTGCCTATGGGCACAATGGCACCCTGAAGGCCTTGCCCTGATGCCCACAAAACCTCTGACCCGCCCATCACAGTTTCCCTTCATCAGGTGCTGACTTCGGTGGGGACCGTTTCTCCTCTGGAAATTTGAAGGAATAATAATAATAATAATAATAATAATTTTTATTTATACCCCGCCCTCCCCAGCCAAGGCCGGGCTCAGGGCGGCTAACAAGCAATAATAAAAACAAGTTGAATGAATACAACTTAAAAACAAGTTTAAAATACAACATTAAAATATTGAAACAGTAAAATATTAAAATGTTAAAATGCAGCCTCATCACAGGAGGATAAAGGAAAAAGAAAGAGAGGGAGGGAATCAAATTGGCTCCAAGCCAAAGGCCAGGCGGAACAACTCTGTCTTACAGGCCCTGCGGAAAGAAATCAGATCCTGCAGGGCCCTGGTCTCATGAGGCAGAGCGTTCCATGAGGCCGGAGCCAGTGTTGAAAAGGCCCTGGCTCTGGTTGAAGCTAATCTAACTTCCTTAGGGCCCGGGACCTCTAGGGTGTTGCTATTTATGGCCCTTAAGGTCCTCCATGGGGCATACCGGGAGAGGCGGTCCCGTAGGTATGAGGGTCCTAGGCCGTGAAGAAGTTGGAAGAGCAGTGCCTTTTCCCCACTTCCCCTTTCAGCTCTATGTGATTTTCAGCGCTTAGATCTGCACCCGAGTAGCAGAGCAGAAAATTAAGCAACTAAGAGGTGAAAGGGAATGATCTGAGAGTTTCACCACCACCTAGCCACAAAATACATGTTTCTGTTGACTGATCCATAAAAAAACTGCTGCTTTCTAGCACTCTCATGGTCCAAGACATGAACATAGTAATATCCTGCTTGATCAGGTTAACGGCCCACCCCTCCACGCAAGGTCCAGAGGGTGGCAGCATGAGAACGGGGCCTTTTTTGTGGTGGCTCCCCAATTTGTGCAATACTCTCTCCAGGGAAGCTCGCTTGGGGCCACTATTATATACTTTTAGGCACTGATTTTTTTCTTTAAAAAAAGTTTAGGGGTACTCTCATTTTGACTCAAGAAAATCCCCATTTTATAGTTCCTATCGGGGAAAATAAATACAGTAAATGGACAAAAGTACAAAGATTCACAAAATGTTTAGGGGTATGCACCCCCCCCCAAAAAAAGCACTGCATTTAGGCACTAAGCGAAAACATTCCTCTATAACAAGGCCTTAAACTATCTGTGGCCACTTACATTGGGACATTTGTAATGTATTTTGTTTTCCTCCTGGTTTTAATGAATCTATGTGCAGGGTTTTGTTTTGTTTTTTGGTCTGTTTTGTTTGCAAAACAGGCTTTGGGTTGCCTCAGGCAAGACATAGCAACTAACAAAATCAATAAACGAACCAGATGGTGTGCGAGTGCGTGTGTGAGAGGTGGTTTACGTAAAAAAACGCCAATTCTAGAGGACCTGTTTTAATCCTACTGACACACGTCCACTGAGCCACCACCCCAAAGGCTGGCGGGCCCTCCCTTCCGAATGAACACGCCTAGATATAGGACTGGGGGGGTGGGTTGCCGCCACGTGACGCCCAGCTGCTATCTCCAGAGACCCAACGTGGCATAGGCGTTAGTGTTGGACTATGGCCTGGCAGACAAGGGTTCGAATCCACACTCACTGGGTGACCTTGGGCCAGTCACCGTCCATGGGTGTAGCGGGGGGGCAGCTGTCCCCCCTCCCAAATAAATGAAAATAAATAAAAATTTGAGGTTCTGCCCCCTCTAACAAAAGCCTGCCCCCCAACAAAAGAATGCCCCACCCCTAACAAAAACCAATGCCCATGTCACCATCTCTTAGCCTAATCTATTATGTTATTATTCCTTAAATTTGTATACTGCCCCATACCCGGAGGTCTCAGGGTGGTTCGAAACATAAAATTCACTATGCATATATATACACACACACACACACTATATATATATATATATATATATATATATATATATATACACACACACACACACACACACACACACACACACCGGTATATACTGTATAGTAATATTTTTTTAAAAAAAACAATAATCCCCCTTTTCTCCTCCTTCTTAAGGTTGTTGTGAGGATGAAACGGGGAGGAGGAGAACCATCTACGCCACCTTGAGCTTCCTAGGAAGATAAAGGTGGCATATAAATGCAATAATAATAATAATAATAATAATAATAATAATAATAATAATAATAATAATAATATAGTACTAATGTAATTATATACACAATCTCTCCTATTTCGTTTCTCAGGAATAGGTTCCCCCCTCCACAACACCACACAGTTGCTCCTCCGAAATTAACCGTCCCCAGACACGCACACTCATACACACACGCGCGCACACGCGTGTCCAAAGCCGCCCAGAGCCCGAGCCCGCCCTCGTCAAAGATGGCGGGAGCGGGACCGCCGCTCAGTTCGCCCCTTAAGATGGCCGCCGCTTTCCTTGTAGCGCGCCGTGGGCCCTCAACAAAGATGGCCGCCCCGCCTCAGCCGTCCCCCTTGAGGGCGCGCCCAGCAGGCCCTTCCCATTGATCCGGAGCGGGTGGGGAAGATGTCGTCGCCGTCGCCGTCGCCGTCTCCGTCGGGGCCTGGAGGAGCGGGACCCCCGCGCGGCCCAACCTCGAGCGTCCGGCGGCAGTGGGAGTTGCACCGCGCCGGGGCCCCTGGCGGGTTGGCCTCGAGCCCCGCGGTGGACGCGGCCCGGCGCGGCCTGAAGGCCCGCAACGCCCTCACGGCGCTCGGCATCGGCGCGGTGGTCGTCGGAATTTGTATCCCTCTCTGGACGGAAGGGGAGCGGGAGGGTGGGCGGCCTTGCGAGTCGGGGCTGGGGTGGGGGGGAAGCAACTCTGCACATGCTCAGGTGCGCTCTTTTCATCCCGCCCGTCTGGACACGGGTTCCTGTGGAGAGAGAGAAAAGGGGAGTCGCTCGCCTGGCGCCTTCATTGCACCTTTTAAATGAAGTCTCTGAAAGGGGATATTTATTGCCAGTCCCTTTTTTATGGGGGGGGGACGCACACCCCTAAACATTTTGTGAATTTTTGTACTTTTGTATATTTCTTGTATTTATTTTCCCCGATATGAACTATAAAATGGTGATTTTCTTGAGTCAAAATGAGAGTACCCCTAAACATATTTTTTTAAGGGGGGAAAAAGCACATGAAAAATGTTACATGGGGGGGGGGCGAATACGAGAGAGAAATTGCAAACACTTTTGTAAATCAAGAAAATATTTAATAATAAAAAAGGGGGGGAAAGCACTGCCCACGGGGTCCTATTTTGAACATTTACAACTGCATATTCTTCCATGGTCTAAATGTGATGTCAATTCACATTGCCCATGTATTTCTTACATTTTTTAAAAGAAAAAAAAGCACTGGGTATTGCTATGCTTTTGTTATATATTTTGCGTTCTCGTTTGTTGTGATCTTCGGACGATGGGCGGTATACAAATTTAATAAGTAAATTAAATAATCTGCCGCCCCTGAGCTCAGTGGGGGCTTGCTCCCAGGTAAGCGTGCATGGGAGCTAAGCATTAAATGCTGGTTTTGTATGATGAAAGACAAGCTGTGAAGCTTTGCGTATTCAGCAAATATGATGTCCAACACTGAACAGTGATTCCAGATATTGACTACTGTTTCGTAAAATTCTTCGTCAGCGTGGTACTGTTACGTCCACAAAACAGTCATCGTGTTGCCTAGACGCTGCTCACTTCCAGCCGAGGCTGCCTTCTTGGTAGCAGAAGCAGATTTTGATCCATACTGTAAAACTACCGTATTTTTCGCTCTATAACACGCACCCGACCATAACACGCACATAGTTTTTAGAGGAGGAAAACAAGAAAAAAAATATTCTAAGCAAAACAGTGGATGTATGATTTTTGTGGTTCAGACATGTAATCTGACGATGACTTTGGGGTAGCCCAATGCAAAAATCCTGAGGATCCATGTGGATCCATGCTTTGTAACCATGTTTTAAGTGGGGAGGAAAGGAAAAGCACTCAAGGGACAAGGAACACGTGTGGGGTGGGTGGAGAAGGATGCTGTTAATAATGCAGAAGAGGGGTATAAGAGGAGAAGGCTCCTCTCCTCTCCTGCTTTGCTCCTTTAAAGGCTCTGCATCTCTCCCTCCTCCCCGGCTCACTGAAAAAAACAGCTCCGGACTCGTGTAAGCGGCTCCTCTCCTCTCCCGCTTTGCTCCTTTAAAGCAAGCAGGCTCTCTGTCCCTCTCTCCTCCCCACTCAGCAGCTCTTCTCCCACTTTGCTGTTTCAAAGCGAGCCACGGAGGAGGGAAGGAAGGGGAACCATGGATCCTCTGCTTAGGACTGCAGCAGATCCCCCCGCCATCCATAGGCATTCGCTCCATAACACGCACAGACATTTCCCCTTACTTTCTAGGAGGAAAAAAGTGTTATGGTGCAAAAAATACGGTACTTTCTTCCTCAATATCTTGGAGGAACCCCCTCCCAAACCCACTTTCCCTGCCAGCATGTTTGCATAAAGGAGACTAGTTTTAGTGCTAGTGGAAGTGACTCGCTCCAACCATTTTGGATCTGTTCTTGCCTCATCAAGACCAGCGCCGCCCTCTGCTGTGAAAGCACGTCTTCTGACTTTGAAGGTTTGGCTCAGTTGAAGGGCAAATGCCCTTTCTCCTTCCTCGCCCTTGGTATCAGGTTCAGGGCTGGAAGGGAGCTGGGCGTCCCAAGAGCAGGGTGGCAGTGTGCAGCGACTTACCTGGCTGTCACAAATAGTATTTGTAAATTGTTTTCCTGAGCTGTCTGCGCACAGATGCCTACACCATTCATTCCATCTCCCAAGAACGCTTCTTGGATGAGCTAGAACGGGATGCCGAAGTCATGCAGGCCCGAAGAGCAAAGGCTTCAGCGGAATGAGGATGACGGAGTACTTCCACTTTAAGAAGCACAGGGACAGGATGCCATCTGTGCTGCCAACTGAGGATGCGTTGGCACAGTGACCTGGGGCATCGATGCCCCCCTGCTGCTCATAGAGAACTGGCTTCTTCATCTGTTTATAAACTCTTTGCCATGCGTAAGATGTCAAAGCCTCCTAACAATTTCAGATACTGTATTTAATTTGAAAGAACAATAAATCTGTTATGTGGATTATGTTTATAAGCAGCTGCTTATTTCTTTTTTCAGAGTAGCACTGACAGGACTATGTGCTATTACATAGGATGAAATACGCAGTTTAAAAGATTTGATAGGTAAATATTGTGCTGGTCACATGTCAGTTTCAACTAGTTTTGTAGGTCCACAGCAAAACCACTGACATTCAGAAGTGAAAATAAAAGGTAAAGGTACCTCTGACCGTTAGGTCCAGTTGCGGATGACTCTGGTTTTGCGGGTGCTCATCTCGCTTTATTGGCCGAGGGAGCTGGCGTTTGACTGCAGACAGCTTCCGGGTCATGTGGCCAGCATGACTAAGCCGCTTCTGGCGAACCAGAGCAGCACACGGAAACGCCGTTTACCTTCCCACCAGAGCGGTACCTATTTATCTACTTGCACTTTGAGGTGCTTTCGAACTGCTAGGTTGGCAGGAGCAGGGACCAAGCAATGGGAGTTCACCCCGTTGCAGGGATTCGAACTGCCGACCTTCTGATCGGCAAGCCCTAGGCTCTGTGGTTTAGACCACAGCTGCACCCGCGTCTCAGAAGTGAAAATAGTACAGGTCTTAATGGGACCTGCAGGCTCAGGGGTGGGTTCCAGAGACTTGGAAAAGTGACCTTGACACAGCACTATGTTTTATGGACATTCAATAAACTTTCCTGCTTATGAAATTTAAAATGTATGGTCCTCAGGAAAGATCTCTGTACCTCCTCCAGCAGGTATGCTGAGAGTTTGTTTTCCACTGGAATAATCAGCTTGGCTTGTCCTGTCAACCAAGAACAACTGTTATGAACTCTGACCAGCTCTGTTCCAGGGCATCGAATTCTGTGTGTGCTGCTTTCACAGCTGTGTTGTTGCTGTTACTGTCTCTCCTAAGTAGTATTTGGGGCTAGTAAATCATTAAAGCAGTGGCTGGCTTGGAGCCAGACAAGGCAATTGTCAGATGCACAATTCTCTTTAAGAGGCTTAAGGGAGGGAAGGGAATTTTCCATTTAGCTGAAGCTGGACTGTATTGTCTGCAGTCCAGGCTTCCACAACGCAAGACTTGAGAGTCTTGCTCCCTCCACACAAAAGATGTAACAGTAATTTCAGCACCGGAACAGTTTAGAACAGGGTAGAGCAAAGGTATCTTAACCTACTAACATTGTTAACTTATGAATATTAGCTTCCCAAGACAACTGAACTCATTGATACAAAACGAATATCAGTCTTTTCTGGGTGCATTTATGAAGCGCCAAACCTTCGTTGCCCCACCACTAACCTCTGCTCAATCTGTTTGTTCTCCCTATCCCTTGTTGGTTTTGTTAATGGAAGCCTCTACAATATTAATAAAATGTGGCCATGAAATTAAGTGCTTATTTCTCCCACTGCTATTTGGAGGGAGCTCATCTAGTTCCATTAATTTCTTGGTTTCTTCTTTTTTAAATACAGTGGTACCTCGGGTTAAGTACCTAATTCGTTCCGGAGGTCTGTTCTTAACCTGAAACTGTACTTAACCTGAAGCACCACTTTAGCTAATGGGGCCTCCTGCTGCCGGAGCACAATTTCTGTTCTCATCCTGAAGCAAAGTTCTTAACCTGAAGCACTATTTCTGGGTTAGCAGAGTTTGTAACCTGAAGCGTATCTAACCTGAAGCGTATGTAACCTGAGGTACCACTGTACAGATAATTGAATTCAGGGATATGCAATTAAATGCACATAATGGAATTCAGGGATCAGAAATTCCTTGTTTAAGACAGTTAGCGCAATTAAAAGTTCACCTGTGCACCAACAAATCTGGCATCTGCAAATTAAGGCACCTGCCTTAACTTTAATTGTAAGCTGTAAGCATGTTCTGCCCAGAAGAATGGTATACGTGGCTACTCAGAAGTAATCCCCTTGATACCTTCATCCAAGTTGTCAATTAAGCTGCCCAGTGTCCGCCACCACTTGCGGCAGCAAATTAGAAAAACCAGTGCTGTGTGAATTCCTTCCTTTTGCCTGTCTCGCCATTCAGCTCTTCAGATGACCACCAGTTTTATCCTTATGAGCAGGGGTAGGCAAACTAAGGCCTGGGGGCCGGATCCGGCCCAATTGCCTTCTAAATCCGGTCCATGGACAGTCCGGGAATCGGTGTGCTTTTACATGAGTAGAATGTGTCCTTTTATTTAAAATGCATCTCTGAGTTATTTGTGGGGCACAGGAATTTGTTGTTGCTTTTTCAAAATATAGTCCGGCCCCCCACAAGGTCTGAGGGACAGTGGACCGGCCCCCTGCTGAAAAAGTTTGCTGACCCGATTATAGAAACCTCTGCATTTTCTCCCAGTCGTATAACTACTGTGTCCCCTTGCTTGCCTTTATTTCCTGAAAACCCAAATTTTGTCACCTTCCCTTGTGGAGGTGCTCCAGCTCCCTGATAATTTTGGTTGCACTTTTCTGCACTGGCTACCAGAAAGGTACACAGTATTGCAAATGTGGCTGCACCTTGTGTTTGTATAAAGGAATTAACAGTTTTGGCTTTCAAGTCTTTTCCTAGTGATCCACACTATGGAATTTGCCTTTTTCACAGCTGCTGCACCCTGGTTTTGTTTTCATTGAGCTAACCTCCCTGACCCCAAGATTCCTTTCCTGGTCAGTCATCGTCAGCAGAAACATCCTGTGTATATGTGAAATTATGATAATTATCTTTGGCTGCGGTGTGCAGCAGTTTATATTGGACTTCGTTTGCCAATTTGTTGCCCATTCACTCAGGTTGAAGATTTTCTTTTGGGGTGCCTTGAAATCCATTTCGTTTTTCGCCACCCTGAATAATTTGGGGCTGTTCATAGGGCTGCCATATGTCATAGCCGGGATTTGTCCTTTGAAATGGTATCCGGGCGGAATTTTCTGAAAGTGGCTGAAATGTCCGGGGAAACCTGGGCATAGGGCAGCCCGTATCGGAAGTGATGATTTTTTTTTTGCAATTTCCCTAAGAAATAGGTTAAAACTACTTGTTTTCTGGAGATTTTGCAAAAACAAACAAACCCTGAGGCATTCTTGAAGATAGCAGCTCTGCAATTGATGTCTGGTAGAGATATGAAGATATAAGGTAAAAGGTAAAGGTACCCCTGCCCGTTCGGGCCAGTCTTGCCAGACTCTAGGGTTGTGCGCTCATCTCACTATAGGCCGGGAGCCAGCGCTGTCCGCAGACACTTCCGGGTCACGTGGCCAGCGTGACAAGCTGCATCTGGCGAGCCAGCGCAGCACACGGAACGCCGTTTACCTTCCCGCTGGTAAGCGGTCCCTATTTATCTACTTGCACCCGGGGGTGCTTTCGAACTGCTAGGTTGGCAGGCGCTGGGACCGAGCGATGGGAGTGCACCCCGCCACAGAGATTCGAACCGCCGACCATGCGATCGGCAAGTCCTAGGCGCTGAGGTTTTACCCACAGCGCCACCCGCATCCCTACACCCTATATGAAGATATACCAAGGTTCTATTTTGGAGGCGATGCAGAATTCTTTCTTGCGATCTTTATTACCTGTCCTTCAAGGTACACCTGTTTTGTTTTAAGAGCATAAACTGAGCTAATCTCCATTTAAACTTCTGCTCATTTTGAACTTGCCTATTGGCTGAAGCTTACTTGCATGAATAACTCGCCCCACCTGCCAAAAAAACAAAAGATGTTTCCAAGAACAATTGTGAACTTCATTCCAAAAGTCTTGGGTAAACTTAAGTTACAGCTACCCTACATGCTTATGGGATTAATACTGCAGATTTACATACCTACTTTTTCTTCCAGTGGAGTTAAGCAGATATTTAAAGAGAATCCATCTGTATTTTAAGTGGAGGGATTTGTATTCAATCACACAAATGTCTTATTCTTCTCGGTGTCCATTATATAAAACATTTAGCTTGGAGAATTAACCCTTACTGTGGCTCCTTTAAGAAAAGCAGTCAAGAAGCTTTACATCTCCAGTATATGCCTTCCGTTTTCTTGGATGGGAGTTCCAACCCACCACAGATTTTGCATTTGTGGGTCCGGTGAGGCTGAGGACGACTACTAAATTTCTCTTTATATTAGCACCCTTTCAGTCCCACCCCCACCCCACCCCGCCAGTAGAGTGTGCAACTCTTAGTCCCAGGGTTTGAGCCCTGTGTTGGGCAAAAGATTCCTGCATTGCACGGGGCTGGCCTAGATGTCTGTCGTGGTCCTTTCCAACTCTACAGTTTTACAATTCCCTGTACATAGTGTGCAGCCAAAGACTTGTGCACAACCACCAGAGCAGCAAAACGTGCTGGGGCAGCCATGGGTGGTGTTCAACTTAAGTGCCGCTCAGAGAACACCTGTTGAAATTAGCAGGTCGACCACCAGCCTAGCATGGTGATCTCTGCCGTTATGAATCCGTTAAAACTTTCCTGTACCCCAGATTGTGAGAGGGTTGTTTGCAGGAGCTCATTCCCACCTCCTCCGCCCCTCATGTATTCCGAATGTGATGTCTCCAGGGTTTGATGGGTTTGTGGGGTGGTGCATGACACCTGTAGAATATGCCCCTCTCAGACAGAAGGACAGTACAGTACTGACAACACAACTGTGTGCTCAGAGTGTAATTGGGGGTGGGAAGGATCAGGGAACTTGGAAAACTCCCAGCTGCATGCATATTGGCTTACTGACTTTGGTTCTACTTGAGTTTACTTTCCTGGCAGGGTGTGTGTTGTCTGTCCTTCAAGGGGAGAGCAGTCCTGAGTGCCGAGTATAACAGGCAAAATTTCCTCACGTCCCGGGTGCTGCTTGGTGGAAGTTTGAGGCTGTTTTTATTTATTAATCACCGAAAAACACAGATGCATTATCTGTTTCTCTTCCAAAATGAAAGTGTGTTTGTGTGTAATAATAAAAAACCATACACAAAACAGAAAGCATCAGTGTTTCATTCCAAAGTGCAGGTTCCCATGCAATTAAAAGGATGAGCCCAAGCAGTTCATTGCCCCAATCAGGGTCAGGGTTTTGGGTTTTTTTGTAAAAAAAAGTGCAAAGAGGAGGCCACACGTAGTGCCACTGCTGTTGGAGACAGGAGCTGAGCGGGGGGCTAAGGCTAAGGGAAGCAAGAAAGAGAGGCGCCCCCCCCAATCCCTTTAACACTGAGGCACAAATTCTGCAAGTTTCCTCTCGTAAGGCAGCTCCTTAAAGTTTTCTAAGCGCTTTGGCCTTGGGGTGGCTTTGTGAATTGAGCCATGCAAGGCACAGAGGATCAGACGACGCTTGCTTAAGTTAGACCCGGCCTTGGGTGCGCACACACCCTACACCGTCCATGTGTGCAGACCCCATCCCATAGCACATACGGAACAGGCGACATCCTGATTCCGTTTACAGTGATGCTCCTTTGCGAGGCAGAAGCAGCGGGAAAGGCATGCCAGCTCAGGCTTCCCCACAAGAACGCATCCCCAAACAACCAGGGCTTGGCTTCTCTCTGCAGACACAAAGTCTTGTGCGGAGGAAAAGTCTGTAGTGTTGGGCTGCTCACTTGGCCTCAGAGGCAGCTCGTCCGTTCGTTCCGCCAAGGGAACTTTCCTATGTCGATGGCTGCTGGCCTTGACGTTGGGAGCGTAAGGCAAAGGCTGCGTAGGACCCTTCGCCGCCTGCTCCCGTCCTTTCAATGGTGGGCAGCAGGCTGAGGTAGTCCAGAAAGTGTCCACAGCTGCTACTGTAGGAACAAAAGGAAATAGGTGAAAAAGAGACAGGGAGATGTAGTTCAGTGGTAAACATGTCCTTTGGATGTACAAGGCCTTGGCTTCATTCCCTAGTGAAGGTAAAGAGATCCCTGACCATTAGGTCCAGTCGTGGCTGACTCTGGGGTTGCGGCGCTCATCTCGCTTTACTGGCCAAGGGAGCCGGCGTACAGCTTCCGGGTCATGTGGCCAGCATGACTAAGCCGCTTCTGGCGAACCAGATCAGCGCACGGAAATGCCGTTTACCTTCCCGCCGGAGCGGTACCTATTTATCTACTTGCACTTTGACGTGCTTTCAAACTGCTAGGTTGGCAGGAGCAGGGACCGAGCAACGGGAGCTCACCCCGTCGCGGGGATTCGAACCGCCGACCTTCTGATCGGCAAGTCCTAGGCTCTGTGGTTTAACCCACAACGCCACCTGCGTCCCTTCATTCCCTAGTACCTCCAGTTAAAAGCGGAGCTTGGATAGCAGGGCTGGGAATCACCACGCATTTTAAAGAACATTTCTCTTCCCCCAAAGGCACCCGGGAGCTGTAGTTTGCTAACAGTGCTGGGAATTGCGGCTGGGTGCATTGGGTAAACTCCAGCTCCCAGGGTTCCTTTTTGGGGTGACGACAGAGGAAGGGGACGACAGAGGACGAGATGGTTGGACAGTGTTCTCGAAGCTACAAACATGAGCCTGACCAAACTGTGGGAGGCAGTGGAAGACAGGAGTGCCTGGCGTGCTCTGATCCAGGGAGTCACAAAGAGTCGGGACACGACTAAACAACAACAACAACAACAACATATCTTCTCCCTGAGGGATATATTAAAGGTACCCCTGACCATTAGGTCCAGTCGTGACCGACTCTGGGGTTGCGGTGCTCATTTTGCTTTATTGGCTGAGGGAGCCGGCACACAGCTTCCGGGTCATGTGACCAGCATGACTCAGCCGCTTCTGGCGAACCAGAGCAGCGCACGGAAATGCCTCTTGAGAGTCCCATGGACTGCAAGAAGATCAAACGTATCCATTCTTAAGGAAATTAGCCCTGAGTGCTCACTGGAAGGACAAATCCTGAAGCTGAGGCTCCAGTACTTTGGCCACCTTATGAGAAGAGAAGACTCCCTGGAAAAGACCCTAATGTTGGGAAAGATGGAGGGCACAAGGAGAAGGGAATGACACAGGACGAGATGGTTGGATAGTGTTCTCGAAGCTACCAGCATGAGTTTGACCAAACTGCGGGAGGCAGTGGAAGACAGGAGTGCCTTGTGTGCTCTGGTCCATAGGGTCACAGAGAGTTGGACACGACTAAACGACTAAACAACCACCACCACCACCACACACATTTGGGGTTTCTGCCTTAAGACAGGGGGAGTAAAATGAAACTTTGCCATAGAACACACCTTGATGTGGGACTTGTTCCCTCCAGAGGGTTTGTTTAACCCTCTTCACTTTTGAATGAATATTTAAAGATGTGTGTGCATGCCCATGTGTCTGTCTATCTAAATCCTCTGGAGTGTGGCCCAAGGTCCAGTACTCTCTCACCCTCCACCCCAGGGTCACGACTCACCATGCATCCAATATCACTGGCGAACGTCACACCTTTGCTCTGTCGCTGCTCCTGGGAAGTGTTGGTGCTTCCGCCGCTTACAGAATTCCTCCTCATGATCCCTGCGGGGGCAACAAGAGTGAGGGAAAGGGACTATTACAAAGAGGTTTGAGCTCATTCATGATACCATTAGTTATGGAAGGGGGCGGGGCGGGGGGGGGATAAGGAAACTGCAGAGCTGTGCAAGACCTCACTTATCAACACTTATTATGGCTATCTATGCACATGGTTCTTGGTGGAGAAGGGTATTGGCAGGTCCCTGCCCCAAGAAGCCTACATTCTCAACACGGGCACAACTGAGGAAAACGGGGATAGGGTAAAAAGCAGAAAAAAGATTGAAATTACTTGTATTTTGGCAAAGTTACAACACAGGGGAGTGTAGTGAAAAGCCCAGTGACAAATCCCACAGTTCGGTGGAGAGGAAAGGTAATTCGTGGGAAGCGAGAATTGATAAATAATGGCATACATTCCAGCCCCCTTGTCAAGGGGCTTGTTCGCAATACCAGCAGTGCCAAAACGCCTTTCTACCAAGCACAGAGGCGGCTGGGACTGCCTGCTGACGTGTATCAGGGCCAAACTCTGACTCCTTTGAGCTCCCTCTGCGACTCTCAGCCTCTAACCCATGGGTAGGCAAACTAAGGCCCGGGGGCCAGATTCGGCCGAATCACCTTCTTAATCCGGCCCGCAGATAGTCTGGGAATCAGTGTGTTTTTACATGAGTAGAATGTGTCCCTTTATTTAAAACACACCTCTGGGTTATTTGTGGGGCCTGCCTGGTGTTTTTACATGAGTAGAATGTGTCCTTTTATTTAAAATGCATCTCTGGGTTATTTGTGGGGCACAGGAATTTGCTCTCCCCCCCCCCATAAAATATAGTCTGGCCCCCCACATGGTCTGAGGGACAGTGGACCGGCCCCCTGCTGAAAAAAATTGCTCTAACCCTAGTCCTGGAAAACCCTGCTTCTCCCGACCCCCCTTGATTGCTCAACCCCCCTGCTTCTAGCACCTCCCAGCTTGTCCCTTCTGCTGACTGCTCTTCAGTGTCCCACCACCGGGATCTGAGACCAAAGTCGTCATCTTCTGTGCCCTTCCTCCGGGGGCTCTTGGGTGTGTGGTTCCCACCACTCTCCTAATCCAGCCAGTCCCTGACAGTGGGCGAAGATCTACACTGGGAACAAGTGGGGTACCGAATCATCTTTAACCCGATGGTTGAAATGGGCATCTAAGGCCGTTGTGGGGGAAAGGGGCCTGCTCTGAATCGCGCCAAGTTGCGTGCAGAGCCCAAGGCACCCCAGAGGGCAGCCCCTACCATTTCCTCCCCAGGAATGGGAGGAGACCAGCAGTGCTTCCTATTTGCTGATTGGCTGTTGCGGAGGCAGCAGATCTGGCCTTCAAGAGGCACATAGCTGTCAACTTTCAGATTTGAAAATAAGGGATCAGCAGCCTCACCTGTCCCGGGGACAGTCTACGGGATATCTAACAATCCGGGATAGCAGTGGGAAATGGTGCCGGAATAAGGGAATTTCCCGCAAAAAAAGGGAAGGTTGACAGCTATGAAGAGGTACCTAGCAGAGAAAGCGGGCATTGCATTCCTTGGAGGCCGGATTTCCTGCCTAGTGGATCCTGCCGCCCGAGGCAGTTGCCTCACATTGCCTCTTGGCTGGGCCGGCCCTGAAAGCTGCCTTAATAAAATAGTCTGGACTAATGAATCAAAGAAAACTGGGTGTGGAGGACTCCCTGGTCCAGAATGGGGTAACTGTGCCCCATTTTGGACTCACAGCTGTCCATGGAGGCGCAGGTCAATTCTGTGTCCAGGGCAGCTGTCTACCAGCTCCATCTGGTACGCAGGCTGAGACCCTACCTGCCCGCGGACTGTCTTGCCAGAGTGGTGCATGCTCTAGTTATCTCGCTTGGACTACTGCAATGCGCTCTATGTGGGGCTACCTTTGAAGGTGACCCAGAAACTACAACTAATCCAGAATGCGGCAGCTAGACTGGTGACTGGGGGCAGCTGCCGAGACCACATAACACCGGTCTTGAAAGACCTACATTGACTCCCAGTATGTTTCCGAGCACAATTCAATGTGTTGGTGTTGACATTTAAAGCCCTAAAAGGCCTTGGCCCAGTATACCTGAAGGAGCGTCTCCACCCCCATCGTTCAGCCTTGACGCTGACGTCCAACGCCGAGGGCCTTCTGGTGGTTCCCTCATTTCAAGAAGCAAAGCTACAGGGAACCAGGCAGAGGGCCTTCTCGGTAGTGGCGTCCTCCCTGTGGAACGCCCTCCCACCAGATGTCAAAGAACTACCTGACATTCAGAAGACATCTTAAGGCAGCCCTGTTCAAGGAAGTTTTTAATGTGTGACATCTTAGTGTATTTTTGGTCTTTGTGGAAGCCGCCCAGAGTGGTTGGGGAAACCCAGCCAGATGGGTGGGGTACAAATAAATTATTATTATTATTATTATTATTATTATTATTAATCATTATTATCATTATTATTATTATTATCACCATCATCATCATTATTATTATCATCATCATCATTATCTGAAAGCGCACACCAGCTTCAGAACCAACAGCCACGTAGCCGCCTCCTCCACTTGGCACTTGCCAACGTGGCCCGGCGGCGCCGAGGCAGCTTACCCTGAGGTTGCGCCAAGTCCACCCGCTGCAGGCTGCTGCGGCGCGCAAAGGGGTTTCCCTTGGAGAAGCGGCGATGGCGGCTGGAAAGGAAGTCGGCCGGGGACACGATCCCGGCGGGTGGCACCTTGCCCAGGCGGGCGTACAGAGCCTCAATCTCCTTCTTCTGCCGTGCCTGGAGAACTTCGACCTCAGAGAGGTGCCTGAGAAGGAAAGAGCGGGTGTTGGGTCAGGGAGGGGTGGGGTGGCGGGGAGAAAGGGACCTCCATCCCCCAACGAGCCCCACACTCACTTCTGGCGCAAGGCCTGCAGCTCGTCCCAGACCTCGTCGTCCTCAGGGCTGTCCGAGTCGTCGCTGCTCGGGTACGAGAGGCTGTGGGAGCAGCTCATCCAGACGGGGGTGCTGGGCTGAGCCTCCCCTTCCCCTTCCGCTTCAGCCACAGGGGTGGTGCCCTCCTCAGCGTCCTGCACCGGCGTCCCGCCCGGAGACCCGCTGTCCGACTCTGTGGTGCTGGAAGAGCTGGTGCTGTCGCCCCTTGGGGGGTTCTCGGGAGCACATCCCGGGTGGGGGTCACCTGGAAACGGCCCAGGATCTGGGGCTTGGGCTCTGTCAGCGGGGGGAAAGTGGGCAGGCAGGTTAACAATAGCAATAAGGGACGCGGGTGGCGCTGTGGGTTAAACCACAGAGCCTAGGACTTGCCGATCAGAAGGTCGGCGGTTCGAATCCCCTCGATGGGGTGAGCTCCCGCTGCTCGGTCCCTGCTCCTGCCAACCTAGCAGTTCGAAAGCACGTCAAAGTGCAAGTAGATAAATAGGTACCGCTCCGGCAGGAAGGTAAACGGCGTTTCCGTGCACTGCTCTGGTTTGCCAGAAGCGGCTTAGTCATGCTGGCCACATGACCCGGAAGCTGTACGCCGGCTCCCTCGGCCAGTAAAGCACTGCAACCCCAGAGTCGGCCACGACTGGACCTAATGGTCAGGGGTCCCTTTACCTTAGGTTAACAATGAGGATGGGGAGAAGCCTCAGGCGTCCCCCAATATAAAGGGGTTCTTGGAAAAAGAACAACCGGTGCTTAAATTCTTTCATAATGTTTGTACTAATTGTGTGTCTCCTCCTTGAGAAGCACGGAGGGTGGCAATACAAGAACGGGGCCTTCTCTGCAGTGGCTCCCCGTCTGTGGAATGCACTCCCCAGGGAAGTTCACCTGACACCTTCATTATACACTTTTAGGCACCAGGCAAAAAACATTCCTTTTCAACCAGGCCTTTGGTTGATCTGTTTGACATCCCATGCCCTTTTAAAACGTGTTTTTTTGGGGGGTTGGCTGGCTATTGGGTTGTTGTTTTTATTTTTATTATGTATTTTGTGCTTTTATATCTTGATTTTATTTTGTTAACTGCCCTGAGACCTCTGGGTATAGGACAGTATATAAATTCAATAATAATAATAATAATAATAATAATAATAATAATAATAATAATGAATGTGCCATGTTCTCTCTATAAAGCTTAATGATGTTTAAAGCTCTATAAAGCTTAATATTTCGAATAACTGGTATCTGCAGATAGAGAAGCAGAAGCCTCTTTTCCCTTTTAATCTTCTATTTCTTTGGTTTCCCCCCTCCCCCTCTTTGTTTTCTTTGCCAATTCTTGATAGCTCTCTATTGCTTCTTACATATACGTTTTGATTTTTGAAGATTTATATTCAGGATAAATGAAGACATATGCAGAAAGGTCATGGGTAGAAAATGAAGGGAATCTGTGTTACAGAGAAACCAGAGTGGATTTTCCTCAGGTTAAGGAAGTGGGAACTCTCCCAAATGAGAGGTGGGAAGACTCACATCTTTGTGGTTTGAAGACTAAGGTAAAATAGAGGGCTATATATATATTTAATTTTGTGTTTTATTACGATTCTTGCTATTATTGTTTCGTTATTATTATTATTATTTACTTTCTCCTCTGTTCTTTGTATTGTTTTGTATTATTGCTTTTTAGATTAGTTTGGCTTTTAACGTTTCATATGTTGACAACTCTTATTAATAAATTTGAGTCTTATAAAGCTTAATAACGTAAAATGCCTTGAAGCCATAAATCTCTCCCCTGAGCGCTCGTTCCTCTTATTCCAAGGGAGCGCGGCTGCAGTTGCCAAGCGAGAATCACAGAATCAGAAGGGACCTTGGGTGTCATCTATCCCAACCCCCCCTGGCAACGCAGGGATCTCAACACGCCGTCCCCCATCCCATTTGAAACCATGGCGGACCCTGCTTAGCTTTGCAAAGCTGAAAAGGCCACCACAGTGAGAGGTCTCTCCATTCCTAGTTTGTGTTTTCTTGAGCACAGAGAATACGCTTCCAGGACTGTAGGTGGAACTCTGCGCTGAAGGCAGCTGCTTTCCCAAGCCCCGCCGCTGCCCCAAACAGTTGCGCGCCCTATTGCCACAGCTGCACAGATTTATCTCTGGCCCCCAAACGCTCCACACCTTCATTGATGGGCGAGAGCCGAGGTGGCGGCAGCTTGGAGGTGGAAGAATCTGGCACACTGAGCAGTGACCCAGACCAGGAGGAGGCAGGAGGCACCTGTAGAGAGAGAGAGAAAGTTTTGTAGATGTGAGGGGTCAGTACCGAACTTCCCCATTTCCACCCCAATCGCTGGACCTAATGTTAGTTCCCTGCCTCCTGGACACCCACATTTAGCACCCACACCCTGGGACACCTAATCTGCTTGGGGTGATACCTGGTTTTCAACTTCACAATATATCGTCAGCTAAATATTGTCATATACCGATATAGCACGACGTTTGAAATAGCGATGGTACTATGTACAGTGGTACCTCGCAAGACGAATGCCTCGCAAGACGGAAAACTCGCTAGACGAAAGGGTTTTTGGTTTTTTGAGTTGCTTCGCAAGACGATTTTCCCTATGGGCTTGCTTCGCAAGACGGAAACGTCTTGCAAGTTTGTTTCCTTTTTCTTAAAACCGTTAATACAGTTGCGACTTGACTTCGAGGAGCAACTCATAGCACGCGGTGTGGTAGCCTTTTTTGAGGTTTTTGAAGACTTTGGTGATTTTTGAAGCTTTTCCAAAACTTTTCCGAAACCGTGCTTCGCAAGACGAAAAAATCGCAAGACGAAAAAACTCGCGGAACGAATTAATTTTGTCTTGCGAGGCACCACTGTATAGGGGAACAGTAGGGCTGGGTGATGGCTGGTTTTCAGCTTCACGATATATCGTCAGCTAAATATTGTGATATACCGCTATATCACAATGTTTGAAATAACGGTGGAACTGCATAAAGGAGCTGGGTGATGGCTGGTTTTCAACTTCATGATATATCACCAGCTAAATATTGCGATATACTGCTGTATCACGACTGAAATAACGATGGAACTACCGTATTTTTCGCACTATAGGACGCACTTTTTCCCCTCCAAAAATGAAGGGGAAATGTATGTGCGTCCTATGGTGCGAATGCAGGCTTTTGCTGAAGCCTGGAGAGCGAGAGGGGTCCGTGCGCACCGACCCCTCTCGCTCTCCAGGCTTCAGGAAGCTATCCCAAGTCTTGCAAGCCCGGCGGGATGTCCCGCGGGCTCGCAAGGCTTGCGGGCAGCAGCCTGCACCCAAAAGCTGGGGACAGCGGGGAGGCGCAGAGCCGCCACCCCGCTATTCCCCGACCTGATCTGGAGGCTGGCGGGGGGAGAAGCAAGCCTGCTTCTCCCCCCCCCAGCCCCACAAGCTCGGGGGATAGGGGGATGGCGAAGCGCCGCCATCCCGCTATTCCCCGACCTGATCTGGAGGCTGGGGGTGGGAGAAGCAAGCCTGCTTCTCCCCCCCACCATCCCCACAACCTCCAGATCAGGTCGTGGAATAGCGGGATGGCGGCGCTCCGCCATCCCGCTATTCCCCGACCTGATCTGGAGGCTGGGGGTGGGAGAAGCAAGCCTGCTTCTCCCCCCCCCCAGCCCCACAACCTCCAGATCAGGTCGGGAAATAGCGGGATGGCGGCGCTCCGCCATCCCGCTATTCCCCGACCTGATCTGGAGGCTGGGGGTGGGAGAAGCAAGCCTGCTTCTCCCCCCCACCAGCCCCACAACCTCCAGGCTTCAGGAGAGCCCCACCGCCAGCCCCACAAGCTCGGGGGACAGCGGGAGAGGCGCAGCGCGCCCTTCCCGCTGTCCCCCGACTTGGCTAGAAGGCTGGCGGGGGGAGAAGCCTGCTCCTCCCCGTTGCCAGCCCCGCAAACTCGGGGGACAGCGGGAGAGGCGCAGCGCGCCTTTCCCGCTGCCCCCCGACTTGTCTAGAAGGCTGGCGGGGGGAGAAGCCTGCTCCTCCCCGTCGCCAGCCCCGCAAACTCGGGGGACAGCGGGAGAGGCGCAGCGCGCCTTTGCCGCTGTCCCCCGACTTGTCTAGAAGGCTGGCGGGGGGAGAAGCCTGCTCCTCCCCGTCGCCAGCCCCGCAAACTCGGGAGACAGCGGCAGGGGCGCAGCGCGCCCTTCCCGCTGTCCCCCGACTTGGTTAGAAGGCTGGCCCAGCCCCGCAAACTCGGGGGACAGCGGGAGAGGCGCAGCGCGCCATCCCGCTGTCTCCCGACATGGTTTGGAGGCTGGCGGAAGGCTTCCTCCTCCCCCAGCCCCGCAAGCTCCCAGAGCGATGCCAAAGCTGCGCGCAGCTTCGGCATGGCTCTGGGTCCCGTTCTGGGGGAGGGGGAAGCTCGGGCTTCCCCGCCCCAGCCCCGCGCCTGGCGGGGGGGGGGGGGGAATAAATTTTTTTGCCTTTATTTCCCCCCCCAAATCTAGGTGCGTCCTATGGACCGGTGCGTCCAATAGTCCGAAAAATACGGTATGTCAGCAGAGGCAAAAGCTGGCTCCACAGTTTCCCTGGCATCGTGTTCCAGTTTGCGAAATTTTTTCAGAAGCCGAACATGCTCCATTTTGAGAGTTAGGCTTCCGTTTTGAGTGCCACCCTTCCAATTTGGGTGTTATGCTGAGGTCGTCTGTTTTTGCTATTTATTTTGCGTTTCTGCAGCTCTTTTTTGTGACTGTGTGGAACCCAGTTCGGCTACTGATTGATTGTTTGACTGCAGTACATTGTTTACCTTCCCGCCGGAGCGGTACCTATTTATCTACTTGCACTTTGACGTGCTTTCGAACTGCTAGGTGGGCAGGAGCAGGGACCGAGCAACAGGAGCTCACCCTGTCGCAGGGATTCGAACCTCCGATAAGGTCAGCAAGTCCTAGGCTCTGTGGTTTAACCCACAGCGCCACCCGTGTCCCTGAGGGATATATTATGGTGTTGTAAACCAGGTATCACCCAGCCCTGCTCTCCAGCTCTCTCATGCTGCTTCCTGAGATAGTTCCATTTCTTTATTTCCCGGTCATGCGCAAGTGCGGGGGACGGGAGGACGCCTGCACGCACATCTGCACACTCACCATGCCATCGTCAGGCCTGCTGGAGGTTGGCGTACTCAGGGATGGCAGAAAGCCTGGAGGTGCTGGCATCCCCAACGTCCCGTTGACTAGCTGGGCCGGTTTGGCAGGAGGAACCATGACCTCGGGGTAGACGAATCGCGCGGGAGCTGGGCTAGGCGGGCATAGCACCGGAGACTGCGAGACCGGCGAGGTGTAGAGAGGCCCCGCCTGGGCAGAAGCCGCGGTCACAGCGGGAAGAAGGGACTGAGCCACGCTCATCACTGCCAGGGAGAAGACATTGGCAAGAGAGAGCAGCGGGGATGTGGAGGGGGTCCAGAGCGGGGCGGCGGGAGGCTGTACGGCAGGGACGACTGGCGGGGCGGGTGGCGGGGGGAGGGACAGTGTGGGGAGGAGGGGGCTCAGCGGGGCGATGGGTTGGGGAACAGGGAAGAGGTACGGAGGCGTGGCAGGAGCTGTCGGCAGCATGTGGTACGGTGGCCAGGTCTGTGCCGGCACGCAGGGGACACCTGTAAGGAAGAAGGCAGATGTGGCAGGTGAGCAGGAGATGCAAGGAAAGAGCATCATTGCAGAATACAAACCCCTTGTTGGCAGGGCGGCCAAGCGAGATGCCTTTGTTTTTATTTACAGTGGTACCTCGGGTTATAGGGACGCGGGTGGTGCTGTGGGTTAAATCACAGAGCCTAGGATTTGCCGATCAGAAGGTCGGCGTTTCGAATCCCCACGACTGGGTGAGCTCCCATTGCTCGGTCCCTGCTCCTGCCAACCTAGCAGTTCGAAAGCACGTCAAAGTGCAAGTGGATAAATAGGTACCACTCTGGCGGGATGGTAAACGGCGTTTCTGTGCGCTGCTCTGGTTTGCCAGAAGCGGCTTAGTCATGCTGGCCACATGACCCGGAAGCTGTATACCGGCTCCCTCGGCCAATAAAGCGAGATGAGCGCCGCAACCCCAGAGTCGGTCACGACTGGACCTAATTGGTCAGGGGTCCCTTTACCTTTACCTCGGGTTAATAACTTAATTCGTTCTAGAGGTCCGTTCTTAACCTGAAACTGTTCTTAACCTGAAGCACCACTTTAGCTAATGGGGCCTCCTGCTGCCGCCGCGCCGCCAGAGCACGATTTCTGTTCTCATCCTGAAGCAAAGTTCTTAACCCGAGTTACTATTTCTGGGTTAGCGGAGTCTGTAAGCTGAAGTGTATATAACCTGAAGCGTATGTAACCTGAGGTACCACTGTATTCATAAATCATCATCACCATTATGTTTTTTTCTACCCTGCCTTTTCCCTGACGGTGGGACTCAAGGCGGCTTACAGATAAAAGCAAGAATCGCTAAAAACACATGGGGGGGAAACAATAATTAAGAAATACAGTCGTACCTTGGATCTCAAACACCTTGGCTCCCGTAAAAAATCAGCTCCCGAATGACCGAAACCCGGAAGTGAGTGTTCCAGCTTTCGAACTATTTTCTGTAGCCAAATGTCTGGCGAGGCTTCCGCAGCTTCCGATTGGCTGCAAGAGCTTCCTGCAGCCAATCAGAAGCCGCACTTTGATTTCCGAACATTTTGGGAGTCGAACGGACTTCCCGAACGGATTCCCTTCGACTTCCAAGCTACGACTGTAGTTAAAACAGTAATGGAACTAAAACTATATACAGAAAGGAGATGGATGGCCTGCTTAACCATTAAAATTCTCTTAATAAAATTATGGATGATACACAGCTGGCTCCTACAGAAGATTGGATATTTGGCCAGACTCGGCCTACACGTTTCTCCAAACCCAGAAAACCTTTTTAAGAACCCACACACTCCTATATGACAGCGTGTCCGATTCGGTGTATTTGTTCAGGATTCATTCCCATACCCATCTAGCCTCCAAACCCTCTGTTTGCAACGGGCCATCCCGTTTCCTTGTAAATACTTAAGATATCCAACCCGTGTTCCGCGGTTCAAAGGAACAGGAGGGATGTCGCATGGGAAAGAAGGAGCGATAAGGCTCCCAGGCTCACACTTGCCTGGGCATTTCTACGAAAGCAGGAAACAGATTGGTTTTACCTGTGGGTACTGTGGAAAGCAAAGGCAACCCAAAGTTCTGGGTACTTGGAGGGGGAACCCTGGAGCTGAAGGACTCGTTCTCAGAGACGGGGTCTACCAGAGAAGCTTGGACGGGGGACGCGACTGACTGCCCAGGGCTGGAGCAACCAAAATCTGAAACAAGGAGCAAAGAGGTTGAGGGAACGTTCTTTCATATGTGGTGGACTCATAAAAGGGTACAGTGGTACCTCGGGTTAAGAACTTACATTCGTTCTGCAGGTTCTTAACCTGAAACTGTTCTTAACCTGAAGCACCACTTTAGCTAATGGGGCCTCCTGCTGCCTCTGCGTCATTTCTGTTCTCATCCTGAAGCAAAGTTCTTAACCCAAGGTACTATTTCTGGGTTAGCGGAGTCTGTAACCTGAAGCATCTGTAACCCGAGGTACCGTTGTATTGGGAATGATCTATAATGAATTTTTAAAAATGTTTAAAAGTGCTTTCCCAAAAAAACCCCAGAGTCCTTTCTGTTGGGGATAATTCAGACTGAAATTCCCAGGTGTCAAAAAAGGTTATTTTTGCATGCTACCACTGCGGCCCGTGTTTTGTTAGCTCCAAAATGGAAAATCAGCAAGGTCCCAACCAAAGAAGAATTGCAACTCAAGTAGACAGAATATGCACAGCTTGCAGATTTAACATATAGAATAAGAGAACAAGAAAAACATATGTTTAGAGAAGATTGGAGAATGTTTATTGAACGTTTATTGAAGGCTTGCGGATAGCTTCCTGAAGCCTGGAGAGCGAGAGGGGTCGGTGCGCACCGACCCCTCTCACTCTCCAGGCTTCAGCGAAAAGCCTGCATTCGCCCCATAGGACGCACACACATTTCCCCTTCATTTTTGAAGGGGAAAAAGTGCGTCCTGCAGAACGAAAAATACGGTAACTTGAGAGATCAGCCCTGGTTAAGAAAAGGGCACAGGCGTGCTAATCTGGGGTACAAAAGGTGTTGGGTTACATACCGCTAAGAGATGAGGATGAAGAGATTGAGCGCGAGAGGGCTTGTGGAGGCAGCTCACCCTACAATGACACAGAATTAAAAAATAAAATGTTTTCGTTCGGCCCTGGAGAAATCCAAAACATCATCTGGATGAAAGAAAAGGCACATAGAGCTAGTTTGCCGGCAGGGATTACTCTGAAATTAAGCCTGAAATGTGTAAAGTAATAAAGCAAGCATACTTCGGACCATGTGCAGAGCGCCTTTACCTTTTCACAAACCAACCACCATAAACTTGGGATTAAACGGAAGGTATTTCTGCTCAGGGTGTGGCATTCAGGAGGGCTTGGACCCTTGTCCAACCCGCCCTGTCTCTGCGGAAAGAGCCACCTTGGGAAAATAGGCCCTCACATTCTGAGAGAGGAGGAAACAAGGAAAAAGCTGCCAGAAGCTGTGGGAAGGTTGATGACGTCGGAAGGGATCTTTACTCAATTTGACAGGGAATAAAAAAATAATAATAATAGGGGGACGCGGGTAGCGCTGTGGGTTAAACCACAGAGCCTAGGACTTGCCAATCAGAAGGTTGGGGGTTCGAATCCCTGTGACGGGGTGAGCTCCCATTGCTCGGTCCCTGCTCCTGCCCACCTAGCAGTTCGAAAGCACGTCAGAGTGCAAGTAGATAAATAGGTACCACTCCGGTGGGAAGGGAAACGGTGTTTCCGTGCGCTGCTCTGGTTCGCCAGAAGCGGCTTAGTCATGCTGGCCACATGACCCGGAAGCTGTACGCCGGCTCCCTCAGCCAATAAAGCGAGATGAGCGCCGCAACTCCAGAGTTGGCTATGACTGGACCTAATGGTCAGGGGTCCCTTTACCTTTACCTAATAAATAATAATAATAAATTTTTATTTATACCCCGCCCTTCCCGGTTCAAAAACCGGGCTCAGGGCGGCTAACAACAATTTTAAAACACTTAATTATAAAAGCAGCATAAAATACAGTATAAAAACATGAATAACAATAAAATTCAAAATGGGGAAGTGGGAAAGACACCTGTAAGTCCATTTTAAACAACTGACAAAGCACATCTGTGCATCTAAAAGGTTTGCGGGACTTCATTCTGGCTTCACTGCAACCAGAGGGGGAGATCAGGGCTGAAACATCTAGTTGTTGTTGTTGTTTAGTCGTGTCCGACTCTTCGTGACCCCATGGACCAGAGCACGCCAGGCACTCCTATCTTCCACTGCCTCCCGCAGTTTGGTCAAACTCATGCTGGTAGCTTCAAGAACACCATCCAACCATCTCATCCTCTGTCGTCCCCTTCTCCTTGTGCCCTCCATCTTTCCCAACATCAGGGTCTTTTCCAGGGAGTCTTCTCATGAGGTGGCCAAAGTATTGGAGCCTCAGCTTCAGGATCTGTCCTTCCAGGGAGTACTCAGGGCTGATTTCCTTCAGAATGGATAGGTTTGATCTTCTTGCAGTCCATGGGACTCTCAAGAGTCTCCTCCAGCACCATAATTCAAAAGCATCAATTCTTCGGCGATCAGCCTTCTTTATGGTCCAGCTCTCACTTCCATACATCACTACTGGGAAAACCATGGCTTTAACTATACGGACCTTGAAACATCTAGAAGGCTACCTAAATTCCCCCGACTTCCGTGGGTCTGTCACTCACCGAGAGTCCATCAGCAGCCAAAATTGGGGACAGGCTCCCTGTTTCGGGGCTGCCCAGAGACCCCAGGTCTTTGCTCAGGAGGGTCCCCACACGCTGGATAATATCACGGATTCTCCGGATGAACCCCTCCTGTTCAGATTTCAGGATGAATTCTTTGGCAACCTGAAGAAGACGGAGACACAATCGGGGAGAGGAGTCAGAGTCAGGATTGAGAACGTCAAAATCTTACCGCAGCGTGAAAACCCTGCATCCTCACCATGACAGCTGCAATCTCCTCTGGGCTGTCTCCATCCAAGTCAAATTTGAAGGTCACCATCTTGTTGTTGTACGTTTGCAGCTGGCACTCAACCACCCGGTCATTCTGGACTGGCATCTGCACACATGGAAGGTTGCAAATTAAACAACAGCACTACCCACACGGAGACTCTTGAGACTATCCAAGCACCTAGAACAGGGGTCAGCAAACCGGTGTCTCCAGTGCCGATCGCGCGGCGGGCCAGAGGGAGGGGAGCGCGTGCCCATACGTGTGTGCACACGCTATTTCTGGCGCACTTCCAGGTCGGAGGAGCACCGGAAATAGCTTGTGCGCATGTGCCCAGGCCTCCTCCGACCCAGATGTGCACCAGAAATAACGCTTGCGCATGCGCACAAGCTATTTCCGGTGCTCCTCTGACCCAGAAGTGGGTAGCCGCGCAGTACAGCGCTGGACCAGATAAACAAGTCCCTTGGGCCTTATCCGGCCTGTGGGCCGTAGTTTGGGGACCCCTGACCTAGAACTTTGCAGGGGAAAGGATGAAATGGTGTGTGCCCCTTTCCCCAAGTCCACTGGATGAACAGACTGAAATACAACGTTTCCGACCAGTTATAGCTTTTGTTTGCAGATCAATTATGCCTGCCGGGTGGCCAGTTATGTTTCGGAGGCAGCAAATACTTCCGAAGCCCAGTAGCTGAAAACCACAGGAAAGGCGTGTGCTCTTGTGCTGAGGTCCTGCGCAAGGGTTTTCCCACGAGCCTTTGGGTGGTCACTGTGAGTACAGGATACAAATTGGCTGGGCCATTGGCCTGATCCAGAAGGCTCTCCTTACGTAGGAATGAAAGCACTTGTCTGAACTGCCACTTGATTTTAAGAGTCTAAAAGCAAATACACTAGATTTGAAGAAGCCACATAAGAAAAGACTTCTTGGATCAGGCCAATACCCCATTTAATTCAGCTTCCTGTTCCCACAGTGGTGGCGCTGGGAACAGTGGCATCGCAATGGGGGGGCAACGGGGGGGGGGCAGTGCGCCCTAGTGCCTGTTGGGATACTGCCGGGGAGACGGGGGTCTCCCTTGGAACAGCATCAATCAGTGACACGAGCCTCGGATACGTTTAGAGACCCGTGCACGCTCTGTCAGCAGAGTGAATAAATCTTCTCACAGCAGAAGTGGCGGACAGAGGCAGATGTAAGCATTAATTACAGGCATTTATTCAGCATAGTTCAGGAACAAAGGAAACATGTCTGCTTCCCTTCGTGTCCAGCAAAACAGCAGCAATGCAAAAGCAATATACAAACGGACGTTCCCAGCAAGTGCTGGAAGTAAACAGGCATGTGACACACAACAGTCATGCCTGTTCCCTTTTAAGGTGGAACAGAACTATATCCTAACATCCTCCCCCTTTCCGTGTAACCTGTTGTACCTGTGGTTCAACCCAACTGCAACCTCTGTACATAAATCTTAAGTTGTTCTCTGTTAACAACCTTAGACAACAGATCTGCAGGAATTTCGTTTCCTGGCATGTATGAATGAATGAGTCCTTTCTGAATACACTCTCTTGCACGATGTAACTTTATGCCATGTCTGGGGTGGGGGGGTGACAAGAAGACACCCTGTGGGGGCTCACCATGTGACAGTGGCGCAAGCAGCCATTGCGCTGCTGCAGCCGCATGTGAAAGATCCTCCGTTTGTGGCTGCAGCCGCGAGCAGAGGATCCCAGCGCTGGCAGTAAACCACTATGTATAGTGCATGCGCGGCGTCACACACATGCGCAGTACGTAACGACGCCGCACATGTGCTGTACATAGTGGTTTGCTGCCGGCGCCACTCAAGCGCCGTATGGACGGCAGTGGGATCCCTCCGTTGCCACTACAGCCGCATGTAGAGGATCCTTCGTTTGCGGCTGCAGCAGAGGATCCCAGCACTGTCCATATGGCGCCGGAGCGCCGGCAAACTGCTATGTACAGCACATGTGCGGTGTCGCTACATACAGCGCATGCACCGTACGTAGCAACGCCGCACATGCACCCTATGTAGCGACGCCCCGCCCTGGGTGTCATGACGCCTTCATTCACCCCTGGCTGGGAAGCTGGGAGAGCAATGAACTGGTGCCCACACAGCAGTTTGTACTCAAAGCTAGCCCAATAATTTGCCTTTCGGCTTGAAGTTACTGCAGCACTCACTGAACGATCAGAATCAGGCTCAAGTGACACAGCTCGTTTAAAATCAAGGTCAACAGGGTTTCCTCCTGACGTCACGATTAATGGCGGTAGCTCTCCGCTGCCCTCTGGGGCAGTGGGGAGGTTTAGGCAGGGGAAAGTCAGGATTTATGAGGTAAAATTCCTGGCAATTGCTCCTCAGGGGGTTCTGGGGAGCTCACTGCACCCCACTGTGCCGCTTAAGCTCGTGTCTGTCAACTTGAAAGACAGAGCGGGTGCGACCTGGGAGTGTGTCCCTGGCATGGACGAGCCTCTGTCTCCGGCATGATTAGTGACTGGTTCCTCATTAATTTGGAATATTGGCATTAATCAGGAGGCGCTCCTGAAATGATATATGATAACGGGCTGCAATCAATCAGCTGCCGAAATGACTGGGTTTGGCTCTTGGAAGGTATTTGAATTCTGAAGCTTGGAAATAGTAATAATAATAATAATAATAATAATAATAATAATAATTTATTTATACCCCGCCCATCTGGCTGGGTTTCCCGGTTTCCCGGTTGAGTTTTTCATATGGTTTTCAAAAGGTTCCTTTTTTCTGTTGTCCCCCCCTGCAAAATGAAAACATTAATGATAGCCTTTCCTTCGAACACCAACAATTCATGTGAGCTCTGGCTGTCTCACTCTGGGGGAAAAAATACAGGGTTGAATCCATGCTTAGTCATGCTAAGAACAGGCCCACTGCAATCCATGGGGCTTGAATTCCAATGGGTCTACTCAAAGCACAACTAAGTCTGGATCCAGCCCACTGTCAGTCAGGAAACCTAACCAGCTGAGAACCACAGGATATATATTAGCACAATAGAGGTGGGAGTTCAGAACCACACATAAATATCCCACCAATCAGGACACATAGCACCCAAGCCTGTCGCAATGCGGGCAGCGCTCACGTTTGTGATGCGTAGGCGAGATCGGGCACGGCGGCGCAGCAGTCTTCCAGACCCTTTCTTGGCCAGGGGCTTCGCTCGGCGCTCGCTCGCAGAGATACCCTCGTAACCATCGCTCAAGCCAGACGCCACGTCAGACGTGTAGCTGCGTCGCGGGCGACCAAAACAGGAAGTGAAACGTGAGCAATTGTGTCTGATCTGGGCACACATGACGAAATGCGCCTCGGCTTACTGCCCCTCTGAATCCCTCTCTGCTTTTTTTATCTCGCTGTGCCAGGATGGGTGAATCTGTGGCAAGGGCACGTGTGGACATCCTTCACCAGTCATGAGAAGGAGGCGCCATCATCCCAAAGGCCCGGCCCAGACTCAGCTCGCCTCCCTGCAGCTGTGGCCTCGGTGATGGAGCCACCTCATTCAACTCCCTCAAAATTGTGCGCCCGGGCCCATGGCCCCTTTGCCCACCCCACGCTATGCCTCTCACACCGCCCCACAAGCTACACACCTCTGTCCCCGGAGATTGCGGGGCTGGCAACGGGGAGAAGCGATCTTTTCCCCGCCGCCCCTTGCTTCAAAAGAGGTCCGGGGACAGCGGGGAAGACGCGCTGCGCTTCCCCGCTATCCCCGGAGCTTGCGGGGCAAGCTTCGTTTTGCGAAGCAAGCCCATAGGGAAATGTGTCTTGCGAAGCGGCTAAGAAAACGAAAAACTCCTTCGTCTAGCGAGTTTTTCGTCTTCCGAGGCATTCGTCTTGCGGGGTACCACTGTATCAGGTAAAGAATGGTTTCAGGTTCAGTTATCTCCTGCTTGGACTACTGCAATGCGCTCTACGTGGGGCTACCTTTGAAGGTGACCCAGAAACTGCAATTAATCCAGAATGCAGCAGCTAGACTGGTGACTGGGAGTGGCCGCCGGGACCACATAACACCGGTCTTAAAAGACCTACATTGGCTCCCAGTACGTTTCCGAGCACAATTCAAAGTGTTGGTGCTGACCTTTAAAGCCCTAAACGCCCTCAGTCCTGTATACCTGAAGGAGCGTCTCCACCCCCATCGTTCAGCCCGGACACTGAGGTCCAGCTCCAAGGGCCTTCTGGCGGTTCCCTCATTGCGAGAAGTGAGGTTACAGGGAACCAGGCAGAGGGCCTTCTTGGTGGTGGCACCCGCCCTGTGGAACACCCTCCCTTCAGATGTGAAGGAAATAAGTAGCTATCTTATCTTTAAAAGACATCTGAAGGCAGGCCCTGTTTAGGGAAGTTTTTAATATTTAATGCTGTATTGTTTTTAACACTTGATTGGAAGCCGCCCAGAGTGGCTGGGGAAACTCAGCCAGATGGGCGGGGTATAAATATTAAATTATTATTCTTATTATTAAGTTCATAACCAGAGGTACCACTGTATCTCCTCACGTTCCCAGCAACCTAAACCCTGCAGCAAATTATTTCCCCACAACAATCCAGCATGTCCTTACCTGTCCGCAGGGGAAGGGAAGTCGCTGATGGAGTTCACGCTCACAGCAATAGTCTGGGGATATAAAAACCACCGTTGAAGGCAGGTTGCCGTGACAATTCGACACCTCCCTAGTTCGTAGCTCACAAGGGCACCACGGCCGCCCATGCCAGGGGTCGGCACTGCCACTCACCGAAGCGAAGGAATGCTCAGGGGCGACTGGGGGGCTGGAGCAGCTCTGTGGCAAGTCGGACAAATCCACAAATCCAGAGGAGCTCAGGTATCCGTCCGTCTCACAATCAGCTGGGGGGGGGGTGGAAATCAGAAAGAAAAAGGGTGACTGCGAAACGAAAGACCAGGCCTGGCTTCTAACTCGGGAGCCTTACAAGTTCACTGGGAACTTTGTCCCAGATATGTTTAATATTTTACATTGATTTACATTCAGATCATATAACACACAATTTACATCAAAATCTATTTATTTGTGCTGGCGACTTCCCATCGTTACATCTGTGATGGTCTAATTCTCTCTCTTCCCTGCTGCCTGTCCAACCTCTTAAAGCTTATCTATTTACCTAAATCCTGCATTACAATATTTTCTATTGTCTTGCCATTGCTCGTAAGTTAAAACCTGTTTGAAATTTTATTTGGCCATATTGCGTTCTTATAGACTGAAAAGGGTCTCCATTCTTCCACAAATATTTTGTCTTTCTGATTCCTTATTTTAGCTGTGAGTTCTGCCATTTCTGAGCACCCCAGTAGCTTGAGTACCCATTCCTCCTTTGTTGGGATTTCTGGTGTTTTCCATTTTTGTGCGTAGAGTACTCTGGCTGCCGTGGTGGCATACAAAAACAATTTTATCAACTTTTTTTGGGATCTCTGTTTCACATATTCCCAGAAGAAATGCTTCTGGCTTTGCGGTTATATCTGGTCTGAACATCTTTTTTTTAGTTCATTATATATCATCTCCCAATTACGTTTTTGCATGTCCACCAGGTAGGGAAAAAGGAACCTTCCACCAGCATAGGCTTCCAACACTTGAGACTGTTCAACACATCTTAGCCAACTGGCAGGGTATCAAATACCATCTGTATAGCATTTTCATACAATTTTCCTTAATGGCATAACAAGTGGTAAATGTAATATCTGCCCTCCACAATTTCCTCATGTCAACGTTGAGGGGTCAACTTTCAGAAGTGGCAAGCTGAGGTGACACTGAATTAATTTTGCCGTTCTAACCACTTACACCATGCTGGTATTCTCTCGTAAAGGTAAAAGGCGAAGGACCCCTGGACGGTTAAGTCCAGTCAAAGGCGACTATGGGGTTGCGGCGCTCATCTCGCTTTCAGGCTGAGGGAGCCGGCATTTATCCACAGACAGCTTTCCGGGTCATGTGGCCGGCATGACTAAACTGCTTCTGGCGCAATGGGACACCATGACGGAAACCAGAGCGCACGGAAACGCTGTTTACCTTCCCGCCAGAGTGGTACCTATTTATGTACTTGCACTGGTGTGCTTTCGAACTGCTAGGTTGCCAGGAGCTGGGACAGAGCAACGGGAGCTCACTCCTCTAAACGCCTTCCTCTAAACGCCCTCCCACCAGATGTCAAAGAGAACAAAAACTACCAGACTTTTAAAAGACATCTGAAGGCAGCCCTGTTTAGGGAAGCTTTTAATGTTTGAGGCTTTACTGTATTTTAATGTTGTGTATTTTAATGTGGGGGTGCGGGTGGCGCTGTGGGTTAAACCACAGAGCCTAGGACCTGCCGATCACAAGGTCGGCGGTTCAAATCCCCACAACGGGGTGAGCTCCCGTTGCTTGGTCCCTGCTCCTGCCCACCTAGCAGTTCGAAAGCACGTCAAAGTGCAAGTAGATAAATAGGTACCGCTCCGGCGGGAAGGTAAACGGCATTTCCATGCGCTGCTCTGGTTCGCCAGAAGCGCTGGTCACATGACCCGGAAGCTGTACGCTGGCTCCCTTGGCCAGTAAAGCGAGATGAGCGCCGCAACCCCAGAGTCGGTCACGACTGGACCTAATGGTCAGGGGTCCCTTTACCTTTACCTTAATGTTGTGTTGGAAGCCGCCCAGAGTGGCTGGGGAAACTCAGCCAGATGGGCGGGGTATAAATAATAATTTATTATTATTATTATTATTACTCCATCACAGGGATTCGAACCACCGACCTTCCGATCAGCAAGCCCAAATGGCTCAGTGCTTTAGACCACAGCGCCACCCGCCGTGTATGCTCTCGTATGTAATAGTCGCCTATAGAGTCCCTTGGTTGACGGAGCGAGGGAGCTTACATGTGGCTGAGGAATAGCCATGCTGATATCGGAAAGTTTGGTGCTGGTCAACTTCTGGTTCTTCCGGCTCAGTTGGGCCGAGTGCAGAATCCCCGGATCCGGGCGTGGTGGGTGCCGAGGGCTGGGCAGGGCTGAGAGGGGGCGGGGAGTCTAGGTCCAACAGATGAAGGATGTCCGGAGCCTGTTCGTGCCGCCTCTGCTCCTCCTGGGCCCGCTTGGCCTTCTCGCGCTGGCGCTTGATGGCCAGGACTCGCTCGCGCACCGCTTTGGCCACCAGCTTGTAGTCGGCCTCGCACACAAAGCCCAAGACCACCTGCGGGAGCGGGGAGTGGGAGCAGGCAGGGACAGAAGTGAAGGAGCTGGAGGAAACAAGAGTTCGAATTCTGGCACAAACACACTTTCCCCCAAAGAATTGCGGGAACTGTCATTTGTGCGAAGGGGGCTAGGGATTGTGGCTCTGAACAAATCTCAGCCTCCCCAATGTACGACGGTTCCCAGGATTCTTTGTGTGGGAAGCCGTGACTGTTCAAAGTGGTATGAATATGCTTTAAAGTTACGGTGTGAGAATGACAACGGCCCTTGAAAAAGGAACTTATGCAATGTATCTGAGAGCTCATTTGATTCCGTTTTCTAATGCCCTAGCTGTGAGACAACTGTGCTTCCCACTCCCTAAAGAAGAGCCATATTAAATTATTAGTACAGTGGTACCTCGGGTTACATAGAATCATAGAGTTGGAATAGACCACAAAGGCCATCGAGTCCGACCCCCTGCCAAGCAGGAAACACCATCAGAGCACTCCTGACATATGGTTGTCAAGCCTCTGCTTAAAGACCTCCAAAGAAGGAGACTCCACCACACTCCTTGGCAGCAAATTCCACTGTCAAACAGCTCTTACTGTCAGGAAGTTCTTCCTAATGTTTAGGTGGAATCTTCTTTCTTGTAGTTTGGATCCATTGCTCCGTGTCCGCTTCTCTGGAGCAGCAGAAAACAACCTTTCTCCCTCCTCTATATGACATCCTTTTATATATTTGAACATGGCTATCATATCACCCCTTAACCTCTTCTTCTCCAGGCTAAACATGCCCATACGCTTCAGGTTACATACACTACGGGTTACAGACTCCGCTAACCCAGAAATAGTGCTTCGGGTTAAGAGCTTTGCTTCAGGATGAGAACAGAAATCGTGCTCCAGCGGCACAACAGCAGCAGGAGGCCCCATTAGCTAAAGTGGTGCTTCAGGTTAAGAACAGTTTCAGGTTAAGTACGGACCTCCGGAATGAATTAATTACTTAACCCGAGTACAACTGCAGTACTAAGTAATGCTATACAATCATACCTTGGGTTACAGATGCTTCAGGTTGCATTTTTTCAGGTTATGGACCGCCGAAACCCAGAACTACCGGAACGGGTTACTTCTGGGTTTCAGCGGTCGCGCATGCGCAGAAGCACTAAATCAGGCTTTGCGCAGAAGCGCTGAATCGCAACCCGCGAGTGTGCAGACACGCTGCTGCGGGTTGCGAACGTGCATCCTACACGGATCACGTTCGCAACCCGAGTGTCCACTGTACAGTATTAATATTTCATTGTCCTAATCAACCTAGAGCCCCAGGAATACACTTACAGTGGTACCTCAGTTTTCGAACGTCTCAGAAGTAGAACGTTTCGGCTTTCGAACGTCAAAAGCCCAGAAGTAACTGCTTTGGTTTTCGAACGCTTTTCGGAAGCCGAACATGCCAAGCAGGTTCCGTATTGAGTTTTCCGGACGTAAATGCTTCCAGGAATGCATGTTTCTGTTTTTAAATGTTTCAGAAGTCAAACAGTCTTCCGGAATGGATTACGTTCAAAAACCGAGGTACCACTGTACCTCCATGGCGTATGGGCCATGAACTCACTTTCCTCTAATGAAAGATTCCATAATGATGTTGTGCGCTTATACAGTGGTACCTCGGGATAAGTACTTAATTCGTTCCGGAGGTCCGTTCTTAACATGAAACTGTTCTTAACCTGAAGCACCACTTTAGCTAATGGGGTCTCCCACTGCTGCTGGAACACGACTTCTGTTCTCATCCTGAAGCAAAGTTCTTAACCCGAGGTACTATTTCTGGGTTAGCGGAGTCTGTAACCTGAAGCATATGTAACCTGAAGCGTATGTAACCTGAAGCGTATGTAACCCGAGGTACCACTATACAAGGTAACTACGGAGCCATTGCCCGAGAGGCAAACTCTGTAGAATCCTGAAGAAAATGAAACTGAGGAGACAGTACCCAGTGACTTCTGGGTAGGCCGAAGCCAGGGCACCTCTCCTTTTTGCAACCCACCCGATGCTTCCGGTCCTCTCCCGTCTTCCCTGCCCATGAGCCCCTTCTAACTCCTGGACTCCCCAGACCAGCCTCCCCAACCCCTGAGAAGAACAGCACCTCGTACCATCTCCTGGGCCACCTCCTCGGCCACATCCTTGTAGAGCTCAAATCGGAATTCCAGAGCATTGTTGTCCTTGTATTTTCCGTGTAGCTTCTTTGTGTCATCCATCCTTAGCCACAGCTTCAGGTTGGACTTGACGCCATCGTCCTCTTCAGCCAGCTCCACGTGGACTCCCGTGTCCTCTTGGAAGAAGGAGTGGTCCAGGAGATATTTGATGGTGTATCTGAAAGAGAGGGAGGGAGGCGAGGCGGATTTAAAGCAGGGCGCAGAATTAGGATGGTGGCGAAGGTGACGCTTAGAGAGTGCGAGGGGGGGAAAGGTATGCCCGGCAGAGGCTGAAGGGTTGGGTGGCCCATAATAATTCATTTATATTTAAACCCTGCCCATCTGGCTGGGTTTCTTCAGCCACTCTGGTCGGCTCCCAACAGAATATTAAAAACACAATACAACATCAAACATTAAAAGCTTCCCTAAACAGCGCTGCCTTCAGATGACTTCTAAAAGTCAGATAGTTGTTTGTTTCCTTGACATCTGGTGGGAGGGCATTCCACAGGGCGGGCGCCACTACGGAGAAGGCCCTCTGCCTGGTTCCCTGTAAGCTCACTTCTCGCAGGGAGGGAACCGCCAGAAGGCCCTCGGGGCTGGACCTCAAGATTAGTCCATGAGCACAGATCCCATTTTACGTGTTTGTTCTTTAAAAATTCCTAAAGTCCTCTTGCGCAGCATGTTGAAGTTCTCATTAGCATTTGATATATGGAATTTCCAGTGATACTGCAGTACAGTGGTACCTTGGTGGTCGAACTTAATCCGTTCTGGGAGTCTTTTCGACTCTTGAAACCGTTGGAAAACAAAGGCACAGCTTCCGATTGGCTGCAGGAGCTTCCGGCACTCAAGTGGAAGTTGCGTTGGACTTTCGGCTTCTGAAAAACCTTCGCGAACTGGAACACTTCTGGGTTTCTGGTGTTCAAGAGTCGATTTGTTTGGGAGCCAAGCTGTTCAAGTACCAAGGTACCACTGTATTTAAAAAATACAGTGGTGCCCCGCAAGACGAATGCCTCGCAAGACGAAAAACTCGCTAGACGAAAGAGTTTTCCGTTTTTTGAGTCGTTCCGCAAGACGAATTTCCCTATGGGCTTGCTTCGCAAGACGAAACGTCTTGCGAGTTCTTGCGAGTTTGTTTCCTTTTTCTTAAAGCCGCTAAGCCGTTAATAGCAGCTAAGCCGTTAATAGCCGCTAAGCCGCTAATAGCCGTGCTTCGCAAGACGAAAAAACTGCAAGACGAAGAGACTCGCGGAACGGATTAATTTCGTCTTGCGAGGCACCACTGTAAATCACTGCCGCTGAGGGCAGAGTTAGCACGCTCCGGAGGAGCTGTTCGGCGCTCTGCTTTTCTGGACGTGCTTCACGTTGTTGTCTAACAAGGAGGAAGTGCAAGCGGCTCCCCGTTTCCCCGCTGGAGAGCACAGTGGTGAATGTCACTCACAGAAGGGGCAGGCGGGCAGCAGAAAACACTGCTCTGTGAGCCGAGGCCAACCAAAGGCTGAATGAGAACAAAAACAGCAGGCCCTCTTACGAATGAGAGCCTCCAAGAAAAAGTACGATAAGAAAAGTTAGGAAATTTGATTATGACTGGAATATTGTTATATGAAATAATGATATTGGAAACTGCTACATTTAATTACAAGGAAATTCAGTTGGAAGAGATTAGAGGAAGTCAAGTAATATGTTTATGAAGTTGGATTTTAATTAACTAACTAAGTCTTATTGTATGTGGTGGTATATGTGAGGTTTGAATTACTTTATTTCCTTTAGTCTCCTTTTCTTTTATTATTGTCTTTTCTTTTTCTGTTATGTTAAAGTTATGCTTTTGTATGAAAACTAATAAACATTATTGGGGGAGGAAGGAATGAGAGCCTCCAGCCCTCCTGTATCCAGCATTCTTTCCAAAGTCGCTCTCCAAACCTGCAGGTCACTTACGGTTGGCCTGTCCGTCGGCGCCTAAGAAATGATGGGCAAGAGCAGCGTGCCTCTGAGCACGTGCAGAGTACCCACCCTTGGCCCACTTGCGGCTGAGTGGTACAGGCAGCTTTATTTTCCCCTCAGAAAAAGAGCACTGCTTACATGACCCACAGACTTGTCCAATCCAGCAAGAGACTTCTGCCATTCTTATGTGCAGTTTAAAATAACAGGTGACATGTTTAAGTATGTGCCACACCCTTTTCTGCAGATTGGGGATGAGGCTTCAAACGGGTTCTGCATTTCCACACGTATCTCCAAGTTCCTACCCCACAACAACCCAGACCATTGTTCTTTGCCCAAGCGTCCTGGAGTTTTCGCAAAAGAAGAGCCCTGTATAGTACGTTTCCGAGCACAATTCAAAGTGTTGGTGCTGACCTTTAAAGCCCTCAACGGCCTCGGCCCAGTGTACCTGAAGGAGTGTTTCCACCCCCATCGTTCTGCCCGGACACTGAGGTCCAGCGCTGAGGGCCTTCTGGCGGTTCCCTTGCCGCGAAGCCAAGTTGCAGGGAACCAGGCAGATGGCCTTCTCGGTAGTGGCACCCGCCCTGTGGAATGCCCTCCCACCATACGTCAAAGAGAAAAACAACTACCAAACTTTTAGAAGACATCTGAAGGCAGCCCTGTTTAGGGAAGCTTTTAATGTTTAATAGGTTATTGTATTTTAGTGTTCTGCTGGAAGCTGCCCAGAGTGGCTGGGGAAACCCAGCCAGATGGATGGGGTATACAGTGGTACCTCGCAAGACGAATGCCTCGCAAGACGAAAAACTCGCAAGACGAAAGGGTTTTTGGTTTTTTGAGTTGCTTCGCAAGACGAATTTCCCTATGGGCTTGCTTCGCAAGACAAAAACGTCTTGCAAGTTTGTTTCCTTTTTCTTAAAACCGTTAATACAGTTGCGACTTGACTTCGAGGAGCAACTCATAGCATGCGGTGTAGTAGCCTTTTTTAGGGTTTTTGAAGACTTTGGTGATTTTTGAAGCTTTTCCAAAACTTTTCCAAAACCGTGCTTCGCAAGACGAAAAATTCGCAAGACGAAAAAACTCGCAGAATGAATTAATATCGTCTTGCGAGGCACCACTGTAAATAATATATTATTATTATTATTATTATTATTATTATTATTATTATTATTACTTCTTTAAAGAAAAATCATTATTTGGGTTGTAACCTGTACCAGGGGTGGGGAATAGTTGCTGGGTTCCAACTCCCATCAGCCTTGGCCGGCCTGACCATTGGGCAGGGGTGATAGGCAGCCCAACCAAACCCAGAGAGCAACACGTTTTCCTGATCCTATAACCATTTACCCTCCAAGGGTCTCCGAAATCTGCCCAGCGGCGGAGATCTCCCCTACCTTTCATACTTGTTCATCCGGATGCAGCCCTCGATGATCTCCTTCAGTTCAGGCACCTTCACGTTGTAAAAACTGCTGGGCTTGATGCCCTGTGATAAAAGGGACGGAGGGCAATTCAGACGGGGGCAGGGAATCAAGAGGTTTTGGGGGAGGTTAGTGGGTGGACAGAAGTCAGGGCATCATGAGTTTTCCAAGCCCCTTGTCCCCTGGGAGAAAGATTTTGCTTGCAAGTTAGGGATATGAAAACCTTGGAGGGGAAGAAACCTTGAAAACTAGGAGGTGGGACATCAGTCCCCCCCCCAATTTTACCAGCCCCCCCCCCGGCAGATGGTGGTGTGGTTGCTCGAGAGCAAACAGGCAAGACTCTGACCTGTCTTTTCCAGGCTTTATTAGTGCAAAACTATTTACAGTGAAGAGCGTCGCAAGTTCGTGTCTGGCTCAGTCGCTAGCAGAATCTGGGAGTGGTCGGTCCTTGCAGCTCCCCCAGCATAACAGTCCCTTGACCCCCAACCTTCTCCTCCCCTCCCTGCGCTGAAACCTACTGCGCAGAGTGGGCGCTAACAACAATAAAGGTAACACAGCATTCTAAAATCAATTCATTCTAAAATTAATTCAGAATCAAATTAATGGCAACCATTGGGCTAGAGTTCTGTGAGGATTACCAAAGGAAGGAGTCAGACTGTGTCTTGGCCAAAGGCCAGGTGGAACAGCTCTGTCTTGCAGGCCCTGCGGAAAGATGTCAAGTCCGACAGGGCCCTAGTCTCTTGTGGCAGAGCGTTCCACCAGATCGGGGCCACAACCAAAAAAGCCCTGGCTCTGGTTGAGGCCAGCCTAAGCTCCCTGTGGACCTCCAAGATGTTTTTGTTTGAAGACCGTAAGGTCCTCCGTGGGACATACCAGGAAAAGGGGAGGAAAGCAGCACAGGGGTTGGTGGAGGACCCAGTTTTCTGGAGCTGCAGAAAAGTTTGCAAACATGGAGAAAACATTGGATCAGAAGTCAAACCTGGGCTGCTCTGTCCCAGCTGCTGTACGTGGGTAGGATTCTGTGATATGCACATCAACGAGACCCCCCTCCCGTAATGACCACTCTTCCCTGGCCATAAAAGCCCACCCATTCCCAACCTTCCCTCCTTAAATCCCAAAGTTGCATCAAACACTTTCCAGATTCCTTGGCTCTCTCTCTCCAGTGCGGTGTAGTGGTTACAAGCGGTAGAAGAACCCTGCGAGGCAGTCAGGGCCGGATTTAGGTTTGATGAGGCCCTAAGCTACTGAAGGTAATGGGGCCCTTTATATGTCCAGCTGTCCTTTGTCAACAACAAACTGTTGCTGTTTTTTTGAGTGGAATATATGCTACATGGTGATTTATGGACCTAATAGGTATCTAAAGCCATTTGCACGTAACAAAATGTGTATTTTATCAAAGTCATTGTTGAACTGAAATACAATTAAGAAGTTTATTAATAGTGAAATATTTTGGGGGGGGGGCAGGAGAGTGAGAGCCAGTGTGTTGGCAGAAATGACTGGCAGAATCCGAGACCTGGGAGAAGAGCTAGTGGAAGAGGATTGGAAGAAATTTAAAGACTACTTGCAAAAACAATGCAAAATGTTTGAATGCTAAAATGATGCAGGATATAAAGACAATATGGCATTAGTGACATAGCTGAAAGGAATATGTAAAAAGTGTTTTATAAGAATAAGGGTGAAAAAGCTAGAATAACATTATGTCAGATTTAAACAAAACGATAAAAAGGGAAAAATTGGAGACATAACAGTTGAAATGTATAACATAGAATAAGATTTGAAAGAGGGTAAGGTACTGCTGAATACGACTGTGCAAAAGGGAACACAGAAAAGGGAGATGTGAGGAAGTCAGGAAGGAGGGTTATGAAAACAATAAGTAAGAAACTGGATTTTTATGTCTTTTTTATGTCTTTTTTCTTCTACCTTTTTATGTTTGGTATTGCATTTTTCTGTTTTTATTTGATTGTGATAATGTTTTCTTTTTCTTTTTTTGTTTTGATTGTGAAGTTTGTTTTACTGTTCAAAATTTCAATAAATATCTTTAAAAAAAAAAGAGAGAGAGAGTGAGAGCCAGTGTGGTGTAGTGGTTAAGAGCGGTGGACTCATAATCTGGTGAACCAGGTTCGCTTCCCTGCTCCGCCACATGCAGCTGGTGGGTGACCTTGGGCTAGTCACACTTCTCTGAAGTCTCTCAGCCCCACTCACCTCACAGAGTGTTTGTTGTGGGGAAGGAAGGGAAAGGAGAACGTTAGCCGCTTTGAGACTCCTTAGGGTAGTGATAAAGAGGGATATCAAATCCAAACTCTTCTTCTTCTTCTCCCTGGGAGGAGGAGGAGACGCCTGGGGACCTAGCAAGGGGTGTAGCCCATAAGGGAGAGGGGTCAGCCCTAGATTCCCGAGTAAACAAGAGGCTATGCTCTCACCGAAGTGACCTTGCGATAGATCTGAGCCGCATTCTGGCATTCTGAGTAGGGATATTCCGAGGTGGCCATCTCCAGCATGCACATCCCAAAGGCATAGACATCCACGGCTTCGTCGTATTTCTCCTCGTACATCTCTGGAGCCATGAATTCTGGGGTTCCTGGGAGAAGAGGAAGGAAGGGGTTTTATCTGAGGCTCAGCCATCTTCAGCCACTAGCTCAGCCAGTAGAGCGCGAGACTCTCAATCTCAGGGTTGTGGGTTCGAGACCCACATTGGCTGGAATATACCTGCATTGCAGGGGGTTGGACTAGATGGCCCTTGGGGTCCCCTTGTAGCTTTACAATTCCAGGATTCTATGATTTTAGGGTAACCCTTTAATGTGTGCCATCCCATTACGCATCCAGCTTCCGCTGAAGATCTCCAGTTCTGACTAATAAGGATCTAATAACCTTGAGCTTGACATGGGTGGCACTGCGGTCTAAACCACAGAGCCTAGGACTTGCCGATCGGAAGGTCGGCAGTTCGAATCCCCGCGACGGGGTGAGCTCCCGTTGCTCAGTCCCAGCTCCTGCCAACCTAGCAGTTTGAAGCACGTCAAAGTGCAAGTAGATAAGTAGGTACCACTCCAGCGGGAAGGTAAATGGCGTTTCCGTGCGCTGTTCTGGTTCGCCAGAAGCGGCCTAGTCATGCTGGCCACATGACCCGGAAAAACCGTCTGCGGACAAACGCCGGCCTATAGAGCGAGATGAGCGCCCAACCCCATAGTCGTCCGTGACTGGACCTAACAGTCAGGGGTACCTTTACCTTTTTAACCTTGAGCTACGGCACATCTCTTCCACAACGATTTCTCAATTCAAGAACAACGCACTTCTCATTGTGCCATCTGTGCACCTGGTGAAAGCATGCAGAGCAGGTATCCTTGGTGTCTGCTCCTCACCTGTGCAACTCCTATCCTTGGCAAGCATCACAACAATTCTGAGCCTCTTACGGAGTTTTTAACTTTAACTGGTCTTGGTGGACCCCAAGTTTAACATGAGTCAACAGCGTGACGCAGCAGCAAAAAAAGCTAATGCTATTCTAGGCTGAATCAATGGAAGTACAGTGGTACCTCGGGTTAAGAACTTAATTCGTTCTGGAGGTCTGTTCTTAACCTGAAACTGTTCTTAACCTGGGGTACCACTTTAGCTAATGCCCCCGCCCGCTGCCGTTGCATGATTTCTGTTCTCATCCTGAAGCAAAGTTCTTAACCTGAGGTACAGTGGTGCCGCGCAAGACGAATGCCTCGCAAGACGAAAAACTCACAAGACGAAAGAGTTTTCCGTTTTTTGAGTCGTTCCGCAAGACGAATTTCCCTATGGGCTTGCTTCGCAAGACGAAACGTCTTGCGAGTTCTTGCAAGTTTGTTTCCTAAGCCGCTAAGCCGTTAAGCTGCTAAGCCATTAATAGCCGCTAAGCCGTTAATAGCCACTAAGCCGCTAATAGCCGTGCTTCGCAAGACGAAAAAACCGCAAGACGAAGAGACTCGCGGAACGGATTAATTTCGTCTTGCGAGGCACCACTGTACTATTTCTGGGTTAGCGGAGTCTGTGACCTGAAGTGTATGTAACCCAAGGTACCACTGTATAGTGTTCATTTCAAGGCAAGTACTAGTTCCACTCTATTCTGCCTTGGTCAGACCACACCTGGAACACTGCATCCAATTCTGGGCACCACAATTTCAGAAGGTTGTTGACAAGCTGGAACGTGTGCAGAGGAGGGCAACCAAAATGATCATGGGTCTGGAAACCAAGCTTTATGAGGGACAATTCAAGGAGCAGGGTATGTTTAGCCTGGAAAAGGAGACTGAGAGGATATTTGACCGCCATTGTCAAGTATCTCAATGGCTGCCACATGGAAGATGGAGCAAGCTTGCTTTCTCCTGCTCTGGAAGGGAGCACTCGGACCAAGGGCTTCAAGCTCCAAGAAAAGAAATTCTGACTTAACACCAGGAAATTTTTTTCAGACAGTAAGAGCTGTTTGTTAGTGGAATAGTCTCCCTCAGGAGGTTGGGGAATCTCCTGGGAGGTTTTAAAGCAGAAGTTAGATGGCCATCTGTCATAGATGCTTTAGCTGAGATTCCTGGCATTGCAGAATGGTCCCTTCCAACTATACAATTATATGATTCTACGGTCTTTAGCAGGATGCGGGTGGCGCTGTGGGTTAAACCACAGAGCCTAGGGCTTGCCGATCAGAAGGTCGGCGGTTCGAATCCCCGTGACGGGGTGAGTTCCCGTTGCTCGGTCCCTGCTCCTGCCAACCTAGCAGTTCGAAAGCACGTCAAAGTGCAAGTAGATAAATACCGTATTTTTCGTCCCATAGAACGCTCCGTCCCATAGGACGCACCTAGTTTTTTGGGGGGGAAATAAAGGAAAATTTCCCCCCTTTATTTCCCCCCCAAAAGCAGGTCGGGGAAACCGAACCAGGTCGAGGAACAGCGGGATGGCGGCGCTGCGCCTCCCTGCTGTCCCCCGAGCTTGTGGGGCTGGCCGATGTCTGCCCGGCGCGAGGGGCGCTCTGCTTCAGGGTGCCCCGCCCGCCGGGCGGCAGGCTGCTATCCGCAGCCTAGACATCCCTGCGGGAACTCCCACAGGGTTGCCTAGGCTGCGGGTGTGTTCCCGAAGCGCCGGGCGCTCTGCTTTCAGGGCGCCCAACGCTCCGGGAAGCAGGCTTCTATCCGCAGCCTAGACAGCCCTGCGGGACCTCCCACAGGGCTGCCTAGGCTGCGGATGTCTTCCTGAAGCCTGGAGAGCGAGAAGGGTCGGTGCGCACCGACCCCTCTCGCTCTCCAAGCTTCAGCAAAAGCCCGCATTCGCCCCATAGGACGCACCCAGATTTCCCCTTCCGTTTTGGAGGGGGGAAAGTGCGTCCTATAGGGCGAAAAATACGGTAGGTACCGCTCCGGCGGGAAGGTAAATGGCGTTCCCGTGCGCTGCTCTAGTTTGCCAGAAGCGGCTTAATCATGCTGGCCACATGACCCGGAAGCTGTACGCCGGCTCCTCGGCCAATAAAGCGAGATGAGCGCCGCGACCCCAGAGTTGGTCACGATTGGACCTAATGGTCAGGGGTCTCTTTACCTTTATGGTCTTTGGCTGGTTCATCCAACTTTCCCCCCATTCAGTCTTTGATCTCTTTAGCGGATACATGCCTGCTCTAATTCCCCTTATCCAAACCTGGCCCCCAGAGACAGAAACAGTTAGGTACCTATGACACTCTTGGCAAATGACGCCCGCTTGAGTGTGGCCAGACCAAGGTCCCCGATTTTGACGGAGCCCGTGGGCCCCGTGATGAAGACGTTGTCGCACTTCAGGTCGCGGTGGATGATCGGAGGCGACCGCGTGTGGAGGAAATGGAGACCTCGCAGGATCTGTCTGCTCCAGCGTTGGAGGACTTTTAGCTTCATCTCCTTGAAGCGCTTCAGATACCTACAAAAAGGAAGCGCCATTAGACTCGCCTAAAGAATCAGCTGTGGGCTCCACCCTTTAGGAACGGTGTAAGACTGGACCTTCTGAGCAAAACCTTGCAATCTCTTTTTTAATTTAGTTTTATTTATCCTTTTCAGGTTTATGCATTTCCATAATTTTAACATTTCAAAACTTGACTTCCTTCCCCCTCTTTCTGCAGTTCCTGAAATATATATATATATATTTCAGGAAGTAATAATACTTTATTTGTGCCCCGCCCATCTGGCTGGGTTTCCCCAGCCACTCTGGGCGGCTTCCATAGAAACCAAAAATACACTAAAATATCACAGATTAAAAACTTCCCTGAACAGGGCTGCCTTAAGATGTCTTCTGAATGTCAGGTAGTTATTTATCGCTTTGACATCTGATGGGAGGGCGTTCCACAGGGCGGGCGCCACTACCGAGAAGGCCCTCTGCCTGGTTCCCTGTAGCTTTGCTTCTCGCAATGAGGGAACCGCCAGAAGGCCCTCGGCGCTGGACCTCAGTGTCCGGGCAGAACGATGGCGGTGGAGATGCTCCTTCAGGTATACTGGGCCAAGGCCGTTTAGGGCTTTAAAGGTCAACACCAGCACTTTGAATTGTGCTCGGAAACGTACTGGGAGCCAATGTAGGTCTTTCAAGACCGGTGTTATGTGGTCTCGGAGGCCGCCCCCAGTCACCAGTCTAGCTACCAAATTCATTTACATATCCAAATTCATTTAATTTGCTCACTTGTTTATGTACTTTAAATATATACTCTTGTGAAACTGCAGGTTATTACAAAAATCCTGCTAATGCTTTTATCTGTTTGCAATTTATCTGTAAACATTCAATAAACCATCTCCATTCTTTATAAAAAGTGGCTAACATCAAGTATAAAAAAAACTGATTAAAATACAACTTAACGCAGCTTCATTTCAGTGGAAACCCAGATAAAAAACTGTTGTTGTTTTTTTGGCGGGGGGGATGTTAAATCTTCACCAAGGCCAACTATCCAGACTGGTCCTATGTGGGCCAGAAAAAAGCCAGGGACGTTCCCAAATAGGGGTTCCATCACAGAAGGAAAAGGAAAGAGGGCGAGGGGATTGGGCTGATTCCAAGCCAAAGGCCAGGCGGAACAACTCTGTCTTACAGGCCCTGCGGAAAGAAATCAGATCCCGCAGGGCCCTGGTCTCATGGGACAAAGCGTCCCACCAGGCCAGAGCCAGTGTTAAAAAGGCCCTGGCCCTGGATGAGGCTAATCTAACTTCCTTAGGGCCAGGGACCACTAGAGTACAGTCATACCTCGGGTTACAGATGCTTCAGGTTGTGTTTTTTCGGGTTGTGTACTGCCAAAACCCAGAAATACGAGAACGGGTTACTTCCGGGTTTTGGCGGTCGTGCATGAGCAGAAGCGCTAAATCGCGTTTTGCACATGCATAGAAGGACCGAATCGCAACCCGCGCCTGTGTAGACGCGGGTTGCGAATGTGCATCTCACACGGATCACGTTCGCAACCCGAGCGTCCACTGTACTGCTATTTATGGACCTTAAGGTCCTCCGCGGAAGTGAGAGCTAGACCATATAGAAGCCTGATTGCCAAAGAATTGATGCTTTTGAATTATGGTGCTGGAGGGGACTCTTGAGAGTCCCGTGGACTGCAAGAAGATCAAACCTCTCCATTCTGGAGGAAATCAGCCCTCAGTGCTCACTGGAAGGACAGATCCTGAAGCTGAGGCTCCAATGCTTTGGCCACCTCATGAGAAGAGAAGACTCCCTGGAAAAGACCCTGATGTTGGGAAAGATGGAGGGCACAAAGAGAAGGGGACGACAGAGGACAAGGTGGTTGGACAATGTTCTTGAAGCTACCAGCATGAGTTTGACCAAACTGCAGGAGGCAGTGGAAGACAGGAGTGCCTGGCGTGCTCTGGTCCACGGGGTCACGAAGAGTCGGACACGACTCAACGACTAAACAACAACAACAAAGGTCCTCCACGGGGCATACCAGGAGAGGCATTCCCGCAGGTACGAGGGTCCTAGGCCCCGTGAAATGAAATGGTGGGCGTCCCCACTACCTTGGGACCAAAAGCCCCGGAGGCCCCATGGTCCTCTCCCCACTGACGCCACTGACGCCTTCCCACAGTCACCACCCAGCCAGTTTCATGCTCACGTTTTGAGGGTGCCTGAGGTCATGAGTTCCGTGACCAGGACGATGCAGACCTGCCCCTTCACCGAAGACTTCCACGAGTCGTAGAACCGGACGATATTCGGGTGCTGGAGCCCCTTCAGCATCTCCACCTCCTCGCTGAAGCGCTGACGCTCCATCTTGGACAGCTTCCGCGTCTGAGAAAGGAGAAGGCAGAAGCGTTAAGAGCTGCACGGCCATCTCCGAGGCAGCCGACGTCACGCAAACGAAATGGGAAATGATATACAGTGGTGCCTCGCAAGACGAAAATAATCCGTTCCGCAAGTCTCTTCGTCTAGTGGTTTTTTTGTCTTGCGAAGCAACCCTATTAGCGGCTTAGCGCTATTAGCGGTTTAGCGGCTATTAGCGGCTTAGCGGCATAGAAAAAGGGGGGGGAGCGAAAAAAATCGCAAGACTCGCAAGACGTTTCCGTCTTGCGAAGCAAGCCCATAGGGAAAATCGTCTTGCGAAGCACATCGAAAAACGGAAAACCCTTTCATCTAGCGGGTTTTTCGTCTTGCGAGGCATTCGTCTTGCGGGGCACCACTGTACAATGAATCGAAAAGGATGTTCAGAATAACCTTTATTTTTAAAAAAACCCAGAAGCTTTTCTTTTGGGAATTATAGGGACAGAACTACCTTAATTGTACAGAAATTAAGAAGGAGGAAATTAATAAATTTTGGACAGTAATACATGAAGAATTAAAGATGATGTTGAAAATATCAATAATAATGGATTGATAGGGGAAGAGATACCACCGGGCGGAATCTTCTTTTAAGCAAGTACAGTAGTGATTGCTGCTAAGTGGAAGTCACAAACTCTACCCTTAAGGGAGGAATGGATTTGTAAACTAAATGAATACTTAACTCTGGCAAAACTAACGGCTATTATAAGAAACCAATCAAATCAAAAATTTAAAAAGGAGTGGGAATGTTTTGATGAATATATGGTAAAATATTGCTCAAAAAAAGATATCCTAATATGCCTAGATTAAAATGTAAAGTATCTGAGGGAAGGTAAATTAGTAAGGAAAGATAATAAGAATATACAGAAGATTTGGCAAGGTTGTAAAATGCAAAGATAAATGTAATCTCGGAATGTAGAGGAAATCGAGTGGGGGCGGAGGGACGCGGGGGGAGGGACAAAAGAATATTAGGTTTGATTGATGGATATATGGGGGGATGGGGAAGATGTGGTGATGGCTTTGGTTTATTTATATTGTGATGTAATATGGGGAAAAACCAATAAAATATTGTATTGACAAAAAAATTGTAGAGAAATTTATTTATGTATGCTACTACAGCAGCAAGAATGTTAATTGCCCAAAAATGGAAAGAAGAAGTTCCAGCAAAGGAAGAACTGATACAAAAATGTATGGAATATGCAGAAATGGCGAAAAGCACTGGAATAGTAAGAAATCAATTATAAAAGAATGGAAACAGTTTGTTGAATATTTACAGAGAAATTGTAAACAAATGAAAACATTGGCAGGGTTATTGTAATAACCTGCAGTTTCACAAGAGTATATATTTGCAGTAGATAATTAAATGAGCAAGTTAAATGAATTTGGATATGCGGAAGGTATATAAAAAAAATAAATTTAAGGAACCATAGAAAGAGGGGGAGGGAAGTCAAATTCTGAAATGTTAAATTGATCGTAAAATCAATGAAATGCATAGACTTTAAAAGTATAAATAAAAACTAAACAAACAAAAAAGCCAAACTGAGTTTTTGTAATGTAAGCCTGCACATATCAAACTCTCGTTTTAATTTCGACATGTGACATACAAATTTAAGGTGTCAATGTCTTCTAAAGTTCACCAACCCCGCCTGCTCCCACCCCTTCTTTTAAAAGTTGGGGTTTGCAAGATCAAAAAAAGTGGCAAGGGCACTTTCTTGACTGCCTTGTGCTGTTCAACTTGCCTGCCAACTTAATTGTTGCCAAGAAGCTGGTAAGCTCACAGAGATGGGCTCCTTCACAAGCTTGCCAGATTTTTATTGTACCATCCTGGCTTCCACCAACTTCTACTGCGGCTAATTCGATTAGGAGGATCTCATTTAAAAAAGGAGGGTGTTTAACTCACAGAGGGAGGCTGCACCAGGCTCCAGTGAGTAGAAATTTAAAGATGGGGAGTTCAGTTAAATCTCCTGGAAATAGTGATTTTTATCAGGGAAACGGGCAATGAGTGGCAATTCCTGCAAAGGAAGTGGAGTCCTCAGGGAATGGAATAGTTTCACTCTGAATACACCTTTGTGCACTTTTCTAAACCTACACTCTGTGAGGGGGGGGGACACTTTTAATATTTGCTAAATGCTCTTATGATTATTATTAATTTTTATACCCCACCTTTTCCCTGGACAGGGACTCCAGGCGGCTTACAGATAAAATAGTAAAGGACCCCTGACCATTAGGTCCAGTCATGATCAACTCTGGGGTTGCGGCGCTCATCTCGCTTTATTGGCCGAGGGAGCCGGCGTACAGCTTCCGGGTCATGGGGCCAGCATGACTAAGCCACTTCTGAAAAACCAGAGCAGCACATGGAAATGCCGTTTGCCTTCCCACCGGAGCGGTACCTATTTATCTACTTGCACTTTGACGTGCTTTCGAACTGCTAGGTTGGCAGGAGCAGGGACCGAGCAACGGGAGCTCACCCCGTAGCGGGGATTCAAACCACCGACCTTCTGATCGGCAAGTCCTAGGCTCTGTGGTTTAACCCACAGCGCCACCCACGTCCCTTACAGATAACATAAGAACAGCTAAAAGCATAAAGGCAGGGAACAATCACTAACAAAAAAATCAGCATGGATAGAATTAAATCGATCTACAGTGGTACCTCGGTTTTTGAGCATCTCAGAAGCCGAACATTTCAGTTTTTGAATGCTAGAAACCTGGAAGTAAACGCGCCTCAGAAGTCAAATGGCTTCCGCTGCGTGTTTTTCAATTTTCTCAATTGAACCCTTTGAGCCTGCCCTTTGCGCCTTGGTTTTCGAATGTTTCGGAAGTTGAAGGATCTTCCAGAACGAATTACGTTTGAAATGCGAGGTACCACTGTATATGGTTTTCATATATCAACCACTATATTTACAAACCACTTTGATTGGCAGAATTTTTTTTTAAAGATTTTTATTAAGGTTTTCAAAATATTACAAAAAGAAAAAAGAAAAAGAAAAAATACAAAGTAAAAACAGTTAAAAACAATTCAATCTTTCCGTGTCTTATCTTTCATTTGCCTGTTCCCCGGACCTCCTCACACCTCCCTTTTTTGTATCCAATTCAATTAGTTGGTTCAGCAAATCCTTTCCCTCTTTGTTTTTATCCTAATCTTTAGTCTTAATATATTATGACTTTAAATTATCACCTGTTAACAGTCCATTTTTGCACATCTTTTTAACATTACTGCTAAAAACCACTTAACTTCAATCCAACATCATTCTAACATTCATTAATTTTGCAGTATTTCTGTAAATAGTCTTTAAATTTCTTCCAATCTTCTTCCACCGACTCTTCTCCCTGGTCTCGGATTCTGCCGGTCATTTCCGCCAATTCCATATAGTCCATCACCTTCATCTGCCATTCTTCCAGGGTGGGTAGATCTTGCGTCTTCCAATACTTTGCGATGAGTATTCTTGCTGCTGTTGTAGCATACATAAAGAAAGTTCTATCCTTCTTTGGCACCAGTTGGCCGACCATGCCCAGGAGAAAGGCCTCTGGTTTCTTCAGAAAGGTATATTTAAATACCTTTTTCATTTCATTATATATCATCTCTCAGAAAGCCTTAATCCTTGGGCACGTCCACCAAAGGTGAAAGAATGTACCTTCAGTTTCTTTACATTTCCCACTTTGATTGGCAGAATTGGCACTACTACAGGTGCCACCTAATACCCGTTCCGCATTTGATGGTTTAGTGCGGCTGTGGCAGCGCTTACCCTTGGAACTCCCTGCCTATTGACATCAAGCAGGCGCCTTCAACTGTACTCTTTTCGGTGCCTGATGAAAAAAATTCCTGCTGGACAAGCGTACCCAGATGCTTAGAAAACCGAGGTGAGACAGTTAATAATAATAATAATAATAATAATAATAATAATAATAATATATAAAAAAAATTTATTTATACCCCGCCCTCTCCAGCCAAGACCGGGATCAAGGCGGCTAACAACCAATAATAAAAACAGTTGATTAAAATACAACATTAAAACAATTAAAACATTAAAATGCAGCTTCACCACAGGAGAAAGGAAAAAAGAAAGAGGGGGAGGGAATCAAATTGATGGATGCCAACAACATGCTAAATTGCTAGAATGGATCGCAGCATTTCAGGCTTCAACTTAAAAACCTCCAGCAAATAGATAAACCAGAGTAGCAGCCCAAGGAGGCGGTTAGAATCTTTTTCCTTGACACGCTACTTTTCTTCTTGCGAGGACATGTGTTTTTTCCGAAGGGGAGCATTCAAAAGCAGTACCTCTCTTTTGCAGGGTACTCTCCCAACTCATTTTACTGCAAATGTGGACCCAGAGTAATATTGGCCTGGCTAGAAAATGGGGGGGGGGTGTCCTGTTCTTGTTTCATTTCACAGCAGTCCAAGAGAGCTCTGCGTCTGACACACACAGAAAATCCTGTACGTTGCCGAGACCAATCCTGCCTGGTTTGAAATAGTCCCTCTTGCAAGGCCCAGGTAGATGGTCCCTGAGGGAAAACTTGCATTTCCCAACATAAAAAGCAGGGAGAGATGTCTAGAAGGTCTCATCACCTTGTGATATTTCAGTCCCTCCCCGCTGCAGTTCGTCCAGGTCCAGTTCGTCCTCGGCTTTGGGCCGAGGAGCTGGAAGGAGACATCGCCCTAATCTCTTTGATCACCGTTTTGCTCCACGGACGTCAGCAGCCGAACGGGATGAATGCAGCCTTTCTCCAACGCCCGAGAGCCAAACGGAACCGTAAAAAAGTCCTTCCCAGAACCACCTTTCCATCACTGCCACTGCAAACATACATGGCACCAGCAGCAGCCAGCTTCCTAAAGGACCTGTAGCCATTCTGCGTCCAGATCTACAATGGCAGAACCAAGGTTAAGGCGGGGGGGGGGGGGACAGGTACAAGGAAGAAATCGCACAGAGCCCGGTCTCCTGGGTTCATTTTGCCGCTGCAGAAGGGGGGTCCCCAGTAGCTGTGCCAAATAATAATAAT